TTTTCAAATATAGTGCTATTTACCTTTGCATGCATGGAGTCTATGATTCTGCAAAATGCTGCCACAAACTAGGTCAACTGTTTTTTTTATAAATTAAACATACCTTCATGTGCATGTGCAAAGTCTAAACACTAAGCACACACCTTTGCATTGGATTAAAAGTCACTAATGAGACTCATTAATAAGCATCTGGTCCATATATATCCCACACCAGCAGGGAAAGACCAAAGAGCAGATTGCTAATTGGAAGGACGTGGACCCCTCGGAGAAAATTACCAACACTCGTTACTTACAGATGCCGGATGAAGCCAATTACTCTATGAATGCCAATATCCTCAACTAGAGCAATCAAATATTCAGGAAAACCGAAAAAGGCATTGGTTAGAATCAATCTTTTTCCTCCTATATCCAGAGACAGGTGGATTAAAAACAAATCTGTCTCTTTGGCCGCTCAATTATTTAAAAGACAGCATGCTGGGTTTCTCCTGCGAGAATAGCCCCATTTCAGTGCTTATTATAGAAGCGCATTCAAACTTAAGTCACAGCAGAGAGTTTATTGATCATCTACAAGCAAACTTCAAGACTTTTACTGCACCAAAATACAGAGAAGAGTGGCGTAAACTGTGCCACTGTCTGTGCTAGGTGCAGTGAAACTATATTGAGGTACCCAATACATTTCATAGTGTTTGCAATGAAAATGATCATACTATTTTGCTGCACATACTCACACACCAACCAAGGAATATTTAAATATAAAGATGAACATTATCTATACCGACTCTTTGTGTAAAGTGTCATACAGAGCTTGGAACATACTGTCATTGTTTCTGGAAGTGCAAACTCATTTCAAGATTCTGGAACTTTTTTGCGTATGAAATTAGCACAATTTTTAAAATCAAATTAAAAAAAGATCCCGGTCTTTTTCTTTTAGGACTCCCTTCTAAAACACAAGCAATGTCATTGACCCTTTACACCAAAAGTTATACATTTTTAAATAAACTGCTACTTGTGGCAAGAAAATGCATCCTTATTAGATGGATAAAAAACACTCCCCCCACTGTGACACAATGGTACAGAGAGATTTTTGCAGTTTTGCCCCATGAGAGGCTTTCAGCTGTGCTTAATGACAACATAGAAGTTTTCATAATATATGGTTTCCTTTTATAGGTCACTTGCCCTCACATGTGAGAGAAATAGTTTTGTGTGTTAATTAGGTTTTTGTTTTGTAGAGGAGGGTTGTCGGAGGATCAGAGAATGGTCTTTTGTTTTGTTTTTTTGTTACTTTTGTTGTTGTTTTTATTTTCTTTTGTTCTGTTCTAAAGTTCTTTTTTTCCAATGACATGTCCATATTATAGGAATGTGCTGTGATAAGGGGGAAAAAAAAAAAAAAAAATATATATATATATATATATATATATATATATATATATATATATATATATATATATATATATATATATATATATAGTTTTGTGTGCCTTTCCAGAGACTATATGACTAATTGGTTGCCAATATTGATACTTATAGATAGTATGATGTTTCCCTTTTTTTCTCTTTCCCTTACCTCCATCTATCTGCTGGCTTGTTTTTAAGGATTACTACAATTCCTACAACTCCTGGCACATTTTTGTAAAACTTGCCTTTGACTATGTCTGTAAAAGCACATTGTACATTTTTTCGAAAACCTTAAATAAACATGTTACAAAATTTAAAAAATAAATAATTAAATAAAATTTGCAACATTCACAGAGGGAGAAAAAAAAGATGAACATTATGCATGAAATCAAAACTAACCTTTTTGATTTTGTTAGCTCACATTGCTAGTTTTAATGTATGGATGTTTCCCAGTACTTAGTTGCAGCTAGAAAGGCATCTGCAGTGTAAAACATTTAATAAGTTGGCGGTTCATTCAGCTTTGACGACCCCTGATGAATAAAGAGACTAAGCTGAAGGAAAAGGAATGAATGACTTTGTTTAGTTGTATTGTTCTATGCTTGTACTTTTATGCAGATACTCTCCAATAAAACAATCTCAATCAATTTAAAATGATGAACTCTATCCAATACAGTTATGTCATTTTGTGAAATTAGATATGAAACAAAATGGAGACTGATTTCAGCACCGGACAGCGGCCAACATTCACACAAAACCTATACTGAATACATTTTACCAAGGCATCAATTATAATCACAAACTGCATGATGTTTTCCTCCTCTGGCTTTTGCATGACAGCATTAGCATAGTGATTGTAAGTTTGAAGGGTCTGGTTTACATCCAAATGTACTAAGGCATCCTAAGAGACAAACATGATTCACTAAAAGCTCTTGCTGGAAAACACGATGGCATTATCGAAGCAGCCATGACCATGAGAGCACAAAAAGCATCTTTACGTAACAAGGCTAATTTACAATGAAACATGCACACAGCGCTCATCAATAGATTGATATTGCTGTGCCTCTTCAGTTTGCGAGAGCCCGGTGCAGACGACTCTTCAGACACTACAATGGCTGGATCTTTAAAGCAACGTGTCCAAGCCGGGCAAGCAGGCCGTCATCTCTGCCTATCGGTAATTTATAGACAGCAGCTATCAGCACACATTATATTTCACCGGGTTTTTCCATGGCAGCCTTCCACGAGTGTCCGCCTGGATGTGAAAGCTCTGCTGCTGCGGGATCAATCGATGAGGACATACCAACAGTGATACAGCATCTCTGAGTTTCAGTTACACTGAGTTTGCATCAAAAACTGCTGCTTGATGAAATTAAATCATCCTGAGACACTTTGCATTGTGCATTCACAGCTCGAAGGTACTTCAAAGTATATTGGAGAGCTACTGTGATGCCTCTTTTATTCAGATTCAAGGTCATGTTATGTTTAAATCATATTATCAGATTACATTATGATACAGAGGAGGAAAAAAGATTGTATAGTCACCAACAAGTGTAAATATGTTCTTATATACAATTGTATTTTTTATTATTATTAATAAAGTGATCTTTATCTGGAAAACAAATCATTTTTCTAACAGTAAATGTTGTTACACACTATATATACAGTATAGATAGATAGATAGATAGATAGATAGATAGATAGACAGATAGACAGATAGATAGATAGATAGATAGATAGATAGATAGATAGATAGATAGATAGATAACATAAACATATACAAATATTTAATTTAACACCAACAATTTACTTTTTTGGTTATAGTTATTTTTAAAATGGCAATATATAATAAATATAATACGATACAAATAAAATGCAATGCGTGATATGAAATTAAACTACAATATAGCTGAACGAACATAGGAAACCTCTAAATATCCCTCCTGCCATATAAAACTCCAATAAACAAAAGTATTTTGTTTCCCGGGGTATTATTCTGTACTCTTTTAAACAGTCAAGTTTAAGTCAAAGCTCCTATTATTTAAATCCTTTGCGTTTTTACGCTCACTGTTTTATTTATGACACAACAGTTCATTGTTAGGCTAAAATTATCGCTTGAAATTAATTCGTGCTTACCTTAAGCCAGGTAATGCGTCAGCATATCCAGTGGATGAATGTTGTGTGACAGCATGCAGTGTTTATGATGATAACACACCTGCCTCTGACGACCATTCACACTGTGCCAGCTTTAGCGTCCTGAGCGCGCTATTAAATAACTGGAACGTACCACAAAAACTGACAGGGGTGAGGAGGATTTAACCGAGATGAGAGCTGACTTGAACACAAGGATGTGAACCGTAAATTTATGCATATATTCTATTACAAAGTTGATAGTAAATAAACGTTACATGTAAATTATATTCAAGGATACAAACACAGAAACAGCAAGTAAACATTTAAATGACCCCTGCTTTCAAACATATGTGCATCCACACATCCTTGTGAAGTACAAATAAAGACCACAGTTTCTATTTGTGTCTGGCAAAAAAGAAAAAAGTACAATTATGTAATAATACATTTAATTTGATCTAATTTTATTTAAATCAAAACAGTAAGCAATGATCATTATGATAATAATCATTATGTTAATAACATTAATAATAACAATAATAACAACAACACAATAATAATAATAATAAAATAATAAAAATAACAACAACATAAATTATTATTATTATTATTATTATCATTATTATTATTATTATTATTATTATTATTATTATTATTATTATTATTATTATTATTATTATTATTATTATTAACATGGTTATGATTGATATTATTTGTAGTAATTGGTTTATTTACTTGTAATTCCATTTAAATTTAACCAATCAATAAATATTCTTTATTCTTTTTCTTAGTATTCATGATAATATTATTATAATTTGTTGTTTTAAATTTTGTTTGGTTTGTTTACACTTTATCCATTATGTTTTTGTTACTAATGTTGTGGTTATTTGTTCATCATAATAATAAATATAATTTATTTTCATGGTAATTTTGTCATCATTTCATTTTTTATTTATTCATTAATTTTCTTTTCGGCTAAGTCTCTTTAATATGTCAGGTTCACCACAGCGAAATGAATCACCCATTTCATCTTATTAGTTATTGTTATTATTATTTTATTATTATTATTATTGTTGTTGTTGTTATCATTATCATTATCATTATCATTATCATTATCATTATTATTATCATTATTATTATCATCATCATCATCATTTTAGTATTATTTATAATTATTCAAGTAATTTTAATTCATTTATTATCTATTATTTATTATTATTAATTTATTTATTATCATCCTTTTCCTCATCATCCTCATCATTTTATGGTTTCAGTAATGTAATATAATAATATTTATTTTGCACTGATTATTTACATTTAATCTAATTTAGAGCAAACAGGTTTTTATTATTGAAATATAGCATATTAACATTAATATTATTTGCTAGTTATTGTTTTAAAATCGAAATCAAAAAGAGTCAGACTGTTATTATGAAAAGTCGCTGACGTTCACTAACCCGGATATTGTTTAAATACCGTGTTTCAGCTGCAGAGGGCTGCAAAGTGTCTTATCTAATATATTTGTGCATGGTTGGATCCTGTAAAAAGCTGTGGTTTCTGCTATATTTGTTCTTTTGAGCATATTGTTGGAGTTATTCAATGTTACTGAGCGTCTGATTTGAATACAGACACTTACAAACAGGTAAGTTACTGAATGCTTCTGAATTGAAGTTGATTCTACGTGACAGCAGTTATTTAACTCAACAACAACTTTAAAACTGTTCAAAAATATTATTTATGAATGTCTAATGTCAGTTTTTATTATAATCAATGAGCCTTTGTGATTATTATGAAGTGTTGTTGATAATATTGTATATTTTAGTGCTGGGCAAAGATTTATGGCGATTAATTACATCCAAAATAAAAGTTGGTTTTAACATAATTTAAGTGTGTGTGAAACTTTTATTTTGTATGCAATTTAACGCGATAAGTTTTTGTCCCTGCACTAATTAGAAGTATACATATTATATATACAGTAAAATTGTTTATATTAGATGCGTAAATATGTTTAGAACTATATATGCATAAAATATTATTGTTTTATGGCTCTATAACAAAGTGAATCAGGTACTTGACATGAATTTTAAAAAAATTAAATAATATTTGTGTTTAAAATTAATAAACTACTAAGTGGTACTTGTAACTGTAATTGTCCAAGAAATGTCAAAGAATTACGATTTTTTTCTTCATTGTAGTAGAAATGAACAGATAAATAGAAATGAACCCAATGTTTGTGTGGCAGCCGCTTCAGCCAGGTGAATGTTGGGGGTTCGAGCTCTGTTTGGCATTGGTCTTCTTGTGACGTCACGAGGAGGCTTCGTCCTGACACACACACGAGCATGTTCATCTGCTGCCTCTAACATCTACAGTAAACACCTCACGCACAGACCCACCTGCACTATGGCCAATACCGGGGTCAAATACCTGGGGTGAGTGCAGAAAAACAGGCTGCAGGAGAGGATGACGATACGTGATTCTTATACATGATGAGTACTGATGCTTATTAGTCATTATTAATCAGTGGTAAAGCAATTAGATAACTAAAACAATAAAATTAAAAGCAAATCAAATTAAACTAAATAAAACTGAGTTTATATTCTTCAGAAAATATACATAAATGTATAAAAACAAAGTAGATTTATTTGTTTGTTAATTTTATTTTAAATTAATTAAATTAAGGTTTTAATTGTAGTTAGTTAACTATAATAATAACCCATCATTAAAGCTTTAATGTGTTGCATTGTTTGTCAATATATGAATGTTTTTTTCTAGCACAAACATATGATGCTAGTTGTATTGTGTGTTGTGTTGTGCTGTAGTCAGGAGGAGGCTCAGCAGATTGACGAGGAGCTGTTCAGCGACTTCAGCTTCAGTGTGGATCAGCTGATGGAGCTGGCGGGTTTAAGCTGCGCTACTGCGGTGGCAAAGGTATATCTGACGCTCCTCCATCTCACACACTGACCACACACATACACACACACACACACACACACACACACACACACACACACACACACACACACTGATCACACGCACTCTAATCAGCCTTTCACTTCATAGGGTTACCCTGTAACATCACTGCTTAAGAGTCCAGCCAGGGTCCTGGTCATCTGTGGGCCAGGAAACAACGGAGGAGACGGCCTGGTGTGTGCCAGACACCTCAAACTATTTGTGAGTTCACCTCCATAATTGAGTGTTGATAATCCTTTATTTTATATCAATTACTGACATCATTAACAGGCATTTATTTGTAACAGGCATATATTGTTATTATATTTTATATATATTTATATATTTTTTCTTTGTTTTATCTATTATATTTTATTATATATTATTTTATATTATTGTCATTAATAATAATGTCATTATATATATAGACATACAGTTGAAGTCAGAATTATTAGCCCCCTTCAATTTTTTTTCTTCTTTTTTTGAATATTTCCCAACTGATGTTTAACAGAGCAGGGACATTTTCACAGTATGTCTGATAATATTTTTTCTTCTGGATAAAGTCTTATTTGTTTTATTTCGGCCAGAATAAAAACAGTTTTGAATTTTTTATGAACTTTTTTAGGGACTAAATTATTAACCCCTTTAAGCTGTATTTTTTCTCGATAATCTACAGAACAAACCACTGTGATACAATAACTTGCCTAATTACCCTAACCTGCCTAGTTAACATAATTAACCTAGATAAGCTTTTAAATGTCACTTTAAGCTGTATAGAAGTGTCTTAAAAATATCTAGTAAATTATTATTTACAGTCATCAAGGTAAAGATAAAATAAATCAGTTATTAAACATGAGTTATTAAAATTATTATGTTTAGAAATGTGTTGAAAAAATCTTCTTTCCCTAAAACAGAAATTGGGGAAAAAATAAAAAAGCGGTCTAATAATTTAAGGGGGGCTAATAATTCTGACTTCAACTGTATATATTAGACATATATGAGTTGTTGTTTATAAATACCATATTCATTTTATTTTTAGTTCATGCGAATCCAGTTTGATTGAGTTTTATTATTCTAAGTTTAGCTTTTTGTAAATATGCATATGTAGCTTTTACAGTATTTAGTTTATTTATTGTCATTAAATAATAATATGGTTGTTTTTATATTTTCTATACAAATTTTACATTTTAGTCAATTTTATTTAATTTTGACATTTTTTTATCATTATTTGTTGTTGTAAATGTGTTTAGTATGTATAGTTGTCATAATTTTACCTTGACTTTTATTCAATTCAACCAGTTTGTTTTTAGATTTCTAAGTTTTGATATAAATACTGATGCAAATATTTCTTTGTAGTTTTTAAGTTTTGTTATGTTTCAGTTTATTACATTTGCCTATGCACATGTAATATAATCATTTATACATCAGTTAATACAAATCATTTATGTATAAATAAATAAATAAATGCCTGTAACATGTCACGGGTAACACATCATCATGAGTAAACGTTGGCATTTCTTCATTGATTGTTCATTTTGAATGACAATTGATGATGTCAATTTGTAGAATCTGTCATCCCCTAGTTCAGGATATCGCTAAAAATAAACCTAATTAAATCTAATTAAAATGTTTCCTTCATTAGCCTGAATATTTCCCGGAGGCATATTGACATTATTGATGTTCCGTGTGAATGTGTCAGGGTTATGAGCCATCTGTATTGTACCCGAAGCGGCCCAACAAACAGCTGTTCCAGAACCTGTCCATCCAGTGTCAGAAGATGGAGATTCCCTTCCTGACGGAGATGCCGGAGGTACAACAACACACAAAAACACATTCGTCACCACACAGGAGGCCTTTTCATTAATAAACCAAAATCTAAAGTGCTGACGGCCCTCAACCCGGGCTGTTAATAAACGTTTCAGCACTTGAAATGTGTTCAATACTTTTTCTTTTGATTTCATTTTATTACTTAATTTGTAAACTAATTATTATTATTTATTTATTTATTTATTTATTTATTTATTTATTTATTTATTTATTTATTTATTTATTTATTTATTTATGTATGGATTTATTTGGTTGTTAACAACATTCGGTGAAAAATTCAAGTGAAAAATGCTGTTGTGTTCAATACTTATTTTTTCGGCTGTGAGTGTACTAACTGTGTATTTGACCCTGCGGTCTTCAGGCTGACTTGATCGATGAAGCGTATAGCCTGGTTGTGGACGCCATTTTTGGCTTCAGTTTTAAGGGTGCCGTCAGAGAGCCGTTTGGAGAAATCCTCTCCCAGCTAAAGAAAATCACCGTGCCCATTGCTAGTGTGGACATTCCTTCAGGTCAGCATTCAGACACATCATACTGTAAATAATGAACAAGATCGCTGACTTAGAACGAGACACTTAAGGCAAATCTTTATGATTAATTTCGGGATTTTAAGGTTTTCAGTGTGTGTTTTGACTCTTCAGGCTGGGATGTGGAGAAAGGATGTCCTGACGGGATTCAGCCTGATATGCTGATCTCCCTCACAGCTCCAAAGAAATCAGCGGCTCTCTTTAAAGGACGCTTTCATTTTCTGGGCGGACGGTTCGTTCCTCCTGTGCTTGAACAGAAGTATCAGCTCAATCTGCCTCAGTACCCGGGCACAGAGTGTGTGTTTCAGCTCAACTGAACATCTACATAGCTGCTAGTCCAAAAAAAACAGAAAAAGCTTCTGGAATAAATTTGCTCTGAACACATATTTTGCTTTTTTAATAATGGGCAGATTTGGATTTGATGATTAATGAGGTTCGAGTCATGAATGTCAAATAGTTAGCAAGGTTGGTTAGAATGTTTCAAAAGCACTATTCTGATTTGATTATATGTGGATTTATAAAAACCTAAAATAAATAAAACAAATTTCTTGGAATTTAATGTTGGTAATTACTGTACTGTTTTTTTGTGTGAAATAAATGTTTATGCTTAAATTATGCAAAAAATTATTATATTACACTATTATTTTAAAAGAAACTAAATAATAACCAAAATTATGCTAAAATGCTTATACTATTAATAAAAAAAAAAATATATATATATATATATATATATATATATATATATATATATATATATATATATATATATATATATATGTGCCTTAGTGCCCCACCAGTGCCGATATACAGCCATATTGCATTGCTACGAGTGTGATATTGCGTTTATACAACAGTTTGACAGCATAATTGTGTATAAAAAAACAAAATCAAACAAGGAGAGTCTCAAAAACCCTTTTGTATGAGGAACTACTTTCTTCCGTATTCAAATCATAAGCTGACAGTTAAACAGTTGAGCAGGCATCTTTTAAACTTTAGATCTGTAGTGTCTGCTTTTTGCTGGCTGTATGTGGGCGGAGTATTACACAAATGGTAAATAGGCTGTAGGAGTTCTGATATTGCAGAATATCGCACGGCTATCAGCCAATCAGATTTGAGAACCAGACAGAACTGTTGTATAAATATATATATGTGTGTGTGTGTGTGTGTGTGTGTGTGTGTGTGTGTGTGTGTGTGTGTGTGTGTGTGTGTGTATATGTATGTATGTGTGTGTGTGTGTGTGTGTGTGTGTGTGTGTGTATATGTATGTATGTGTGTGTGTGTGTGTGTGTGTGTGTGTGTGTGTGTGTGTGTGTATGTGTATGTAGTAAAAATAAACAAAAAATAAATAGCAAAAGATTACAAAAATTTTACTAAAACTGCTTATACTATTAATAAAATATTTTTGGCAAAAGATGGCAAAGTCAATGTTTCAGAGCTTATGTGCATTCTTACAGACTTTCATTTTGTATTTTGTGTCATTTTGGTGGTGTTAATGAAAACAGCATATATTTTGGCATAGATTTCATTTTTTTATTTTAATTTTTTTTTTCAAAAATCTACTTTACTCACGATAAAAGAAAGTTACATGCAGGACCTTCTGACAAAAGTCTCCCCACTGAAACCCATTAAAACAGCAATATTTAACCCCAGTGCTATTTAAACTAGAAGTCATAAGTCCTTATCTTCAGTATTTTATCACCTAAAAATACTACAAAACATACTTATTAATGGCAAATCCAAAGAATTAATAACCTTCAAGTAGTCTCTTCAACTTTTTCAGGGCTGGATACATAATTACCAGGGGTGTAGACACGTGTAACATTACCAATAGAATTAGAAAAAGTAAACTGGCATGTATAACTTTTTATTAATATATTTATGGACAAACGAATCAGCACACGGGCCAACACAAAATGTCCCGCATGCTGCTGCTTGCAGAAAATTTCTTATAATTATATCAAACAAAATCTTTTGTGTCTGACAGAGGTCTTAAACTAAAGTATTACTGTTTCATATAATAATACATTTTGCAAGCTGCAACAGTGTACATTTCCATAATGAATATAAAACTCAGATCGGTTTAACACCATTTTAAAAACAAATGACCAAAAATTCAATGCAAAAATATCAATACTCCATAAACCATAGATACCTTCCATGAGAAGGTCTAATTGTTCAGTCTAAGATTTATATTTCTTAAAAACATTTTTTTTTACATTGCAACTATGTCAGTATTGATTGAACTCAAGCTTTGTATAATACAGCACAACTTATATGTGTTTTATCTATAATGGGATTCATTACTAAAAATAAAAAAATGCACCATGTCTTGCATGATCAGTTCCAGCTGTTTCTATCAATTTCATCCATTTTATTTTAAAAACACTTTCCAATTTCGACATATTTGTGTTTTGTAAAGCACTTTTTTTTCTCTTTTAGCAAAATAATAGTAAATAATACAGCCCACATGCACTTTAAACTATTTATATTGTTGCACTTTATTAATGTGTCTATAAATATCAATTATTTTAATAGTCTATAAATGTCTTCACAATTTTATAGTCTATAAATACCAACTATGCATCATTTTTAAGGTCAATTGCTCAAAATTGTTCTGAGTTTTTTTTCCATTTTCAGATTTTTGTGCTAGAAATGAATGCATATTTAATTTTTAAAAATATTAATCAGATTCATAATGTTATCAATTAAATAGATCATTGTTCACCTTCTTCATCTGTAGCTTCTTGTTTTAAAAGAAATCATATTTTTTAATGCTGACGGCCTCTCTGTTTCACTCACTGATATGACATCCAATGTCATCATTAAAAGTCTTTGTTTTGTGCTGGTGATGGTGATTTGGTCTGGATGTCCTCTGGTGTGTTCAGGAGTTTTTGCAGCAGCTTCGGCTCTCCTGGAATTCCCTGGACGGACCGTGTGTCTGTCCAAGAGTCACGGCGCTGATCGAGCCTCTGGTCACTTCTTTACTAGCAACTTTCTGGTGTATTGCTGGAAAACATAATTGAACACTGCAATAATTAGATTAGATTAGATTCAACTTTGTTGTCATCACACATGTACAAGTACAGGGCAACGAAATGCAGTTTACTTCTAACCAGACGTGCAATAGCAGCAAGTGCAGGATTTAAGGAGGGCCAGACGGAATCTGCGGATGTTTTTTGCTATTTTTGCGCAGAATTTTGTTGAAAATCTATGGATGTATGCTGAATGATTTTGGGAGTATCATAACTTAAACTTTAATATATGAAATAAAGAGTAATACCTTTTTAACTTGTGTTTAATGTTTACAATGCAAATCCAATCAGATCCACTTTATTTGGAAAAACAAAGCAAGTCTATTTAATATATCTACTAAAAGACAGAAAATATGACTTTACAAACCGTATTGTAAATAAATTATATGAATATTTTAATATTAGTCAATAATTATACTGAAATAAATTTGAAAAAAACTGAATAAATCTAAATTTACACACATTTACACAAGTGAATATAAAGAATCAATGATGAGCTATAAATCTGGGGAAATCTGTGGCGCAGATTCCGTCTTGGCGAAGTTCTAAAGTGCATTAAGAGAAAAACTGTTGATATATTTACAGATGGATGTACTATGAACATTATATACAGGTTATTTTAACTATGAACTGAGATTTACAATAGATAACTATACATACAGGTTGCTAATAATAATCAAAGGTATGCAGATAGATCTGAATATAATTACAAATGTATATGTGCAGTGGATATGTACAATCCAAGATGAATTAATGCAACAGTGCAATGATATGTGCAAATTTAATTGTGCACATTTTAGTGCACAGGGAGTTATGAGGAGAGTATAAGAGGGGCAATTGAATCAGTGGGGGCAGAGTTAAAAAATAATGCATTTAAAGTGAGTCATAAAGGTATCAACTAGTTTGATATACTATGTATGAGTGCCCAATGTTTGTAACTTATGTAACTTTTTAATTTAGTAGCTAATTTGTGTAATCTCATTTGTACATTTTAGTAGGATTTGCTCATCTCCTAATGAGATATGGGTTGAAGGTAAGGTTTGGGTTCAGTCTTAATCAGTGACGTTAAGTAAAAATAAAACTTACCTGTTAGAACTTCGAGGAAAGCAGATTCAACATTAGTCGACTCTAATGCTGAAGTCTCCATAAAAAGTAAGCCATTGGCATCTGATTTTTTCAGACAAGAAAATATCATTAATAATTAAACATTTTCTAATTGGGATTATTCTGTGAATCCATATGCATTTCAATAATAACAAATGTAAAATTGCTAGGGTCTCATTGCACAGAGTGTGTCTTATATTGCACACAGATGAATGAATGAATAAATGAATGAATGAATGAATGAATCAATCAATCAATCAATCAATCAATCAATCAATCAAATAAATATGTGAATGAATGAAATCAATCAATAATGAATGAATGAATGGAATTTGTGGATAATTGAAATAATTGAATCAATTAATGAATCAATCAATCAATAATGAATGAACAAATTAAATGAATAAAATCAATAATGAATCAAATGAATAAATATATCAATCAATTAATGATGAATGAATGGAATCAAATTAATCAACCAATAATGAAATAATCTAATAAATGCATCAATAATGAATGAATTGATGGAATGAATGAATGAATGAATTAATTAATTAATTAATTAATTAATTAATTAATTAATTAATTAATTAATGAATTAATGAATGAATGAATGAATGAATGAATGAATGAATGAATGAATGAATGAATTAATTAATTAATTAATTAATCGATAATGAATAAAAGAAAGAAGGAATAGAATGGAATCAAATCAAAAAATTAATGAATGAATAAATTTATCAAGCAATCTAATCAATCGATGAATGAATCTATTAAATAAATCAATCAAATAAATCAAACAATAATGAATGAGTGAATGAATGAATGAATCAAACAAATTAATGGATGAATGAAGTTAGTCAAAATTTATAAATGGAATCAGTGACTGAATTCCATTAATGAATCAATGAGTGAATGAATCAATCAATGAATCAATCAATCAACCAAATCAATGGATGAATGAAATCAATCAATAATTAATGAATGGAATGAATGAATAAATGAATGAATCAGTTAATGAGTGAATGAATGAACTAAATGAATAAATTAAATTAATAAATAAGTGGAATCGATGAATTAATTAATTGAATGACTTAACGAATTAATTAATTAATTAATGCCTTAACGAATTAATGAAGTCATTAATTAATCAATCAATCAATCAATCAATCAATAATGAATGAATGAATTAATTTATGAATTGAAACAATCAATATTCAATCAATCAAAATGTGTTATCAAGTATTCTCTAAAAGAGGGTGAGCAATGACAACATTAAGGTCCTCTTTCATGCTTGAAATGTCTTAAACTGAGGGCTATAAACTGCAGATACCTGCAAAGTCTTTGGCCTCCTCTGTGGGTACAGTGCGCACAGTTGCCAGGTCATTTTTATTGCCCACCAGCATGACCACGATATGAGGATCAGCGTGATCATACAGTTCCTTCAGCCAGCGCTCCACGCTCTCATAGGTCAGGTGTTTGGTGATGTCATAGACCAGCAGCGCACCCACTGCTCCTCTGTAATACCTAAAACAAACAGCATTACATGTAAACACACAAGAAACTCAATTGCATTTGGCTCACATGATTCATTATTTGGTTTTTAATAAGTATGTATTGCATCCTACGGGGGAAGCTGGGGGAACGGGATGTTGTAATCACACAATATCTACACTTCAAAGTTTACAAGGTTTCGGCCCAGTAAGATATTAATCGTAACAGTTTACAATAAGGTCCATTAAACTTGAACTTTTGGCTAATGTATTTATTAATAATACTCATTAATTTTCCTTCGGCTTAGTCGCTTATTTATCAGGGGTCACCACAGCGGAATGAGCCGCCAACTATTCCACCATATGTTTTACACAGCAGATGCCCATCCAGCTTTCCTAGAGATGGGTTGTGGCTGGAAGGGCATCCGCTGCGTAAAACATATGCTGGATAAGTTAGCGGTTCATTCCCCTGTGGCGACCCCAGATTAATAAAGGGAATAAGCCGAAAAGAAAATGAATGGATGAATGAATACCCCTCCAGCCGCACACTAGTACTGGGAAAAACCCATACACTCTCACATACACACACAGCCAATTTACTTCATCCATTTCACCTATAGCGCATGTCTTTGGACTGTGGGGGATACCGGAGCACCCGGAGAAAACTCACGCCAACACAGGGAGAACATGCAAATACAGAAATGCCAACAGTAATGAACAGTTAATAATGTTAATTAAGATGCTTTTTCTCTGTATGTCAACAACAACATGAACATTTTTATTCAGTGTGAGCATAGTAAGAAGAATTTATTCAGCAGGAATGCATTAAATTTAAATAAAAGTTACTTTAAAGACATATATAATAAATGTATGGATACTGCCATTCTTTTGAATCTTCTGTTAATTAATGAATCCAGGCAAAAATGCATTACAGTTACTACAAAATTATTAAAAAGCACTACAACGATTTAATAATAAATATCTCGAGTACGTTGGCCATGAGAGCTCAAACATGCTGCAAAGATCTAAAATGTGTTGTAATTATATTTTTATCTCTTATTATCTGACAAATTGCACAATTAACTTTAAATTCACTTCGTTTGAGCTCTCTCGGCCACCGTATTCGACCATTAAACCATCAAATAAAATCTATTGAGATACAAAGCTGTATTCAAAATCCTGGTAATTGATAAAAAAATTATACAGATTTTTTTATTCAAACTTGTAATAACAATTGATAAATTTTAATCAAATAAATGCATCCTTGATAAGCATAAAACCCTTAAAATATATAATAATAATAAATTACCAAATCAAAACTTCTAAATAGTATAATTTACTAATCTAGAAGCATCTTTTAGGAAGAACTCAATATTCTGCAGTATTTCAGTAACTATATATTTAACATAACCATGGTTAAATTCTAATTCCTATCGTCTGAAAACTCTAAAATTTAGTGGTAGGACGGCATCAAGGCATTTCCTAATCAAAATTCTGCTTCACTTCCTTCCTCAGAAGGGACCTTCATCTGATTGAATGTTGAAGGCAGCACAGATGTGTCCATCGCACTTCAATTTTAACCCAGTAACTGGGTATGCCAATATTTGACTAGTTGAAATAGAAATTAGGGTGGCACGGTGGCTCAGTGGTTAGCACTGTCGCCTCACAGCAAGAAGATCTCTGCTTCAAGTCCCAGCTGGGTCAGTTGGCATTTCTGTGTACAGTTTGCATGTTGCCGTGGGTTTCCTCCGGGTGCTCTGGTTGCCCCCACAGTCCAAAGACATGCACTGTAGGTGACTTGAATAAACTAAATTCGCCGTATGTGTGTGAAAGAGTGTGTATGGGTGTTTCCCAGTACAGGGTTTGCACCCAAGATTGCATATGCTGTGTAAAATATATACTGGAACAGTCAGTGGTTCATTCCACTGTGGTTACCTCTGAAATAGAGACTTAGCCAAAGGAAAATAAATGAATGAATGAATGAATGAATGAATGAATGAATGAATGAATGAATGAATGAATGAATGAATGAATGAATTAGAAATTTGACTGGTTGAGTTGAAATAATTTTGCATTTTTAAGTGTAGTGGTAGAAACTTTAAAACACAATCACTTTCTATGCTATAGTAAAATAATGCAAAAAGCACTGTAGCTGTCAGTAACTATCCTTTAAACTGTGTACCAAGTTAAAAAGACATATAGGAGTGGTTCTGGGTGTGAGTCTAAATCAATTGCAACAAATTCCAGATAATCTAAAACAAGGAAATGTACATGAATCTGAGATGAAAGGAAGATGAAGTGAGGGACGTACGCTGAGGTGATGGCCCTGTAGCGCTCTAGACCCGCAGTGTCCCAGATCTGGGCTTTGATGGTGATACTGTCCACCTGAACAGAGCGAGTGCTGAACTCCACGCCAATAGTGGTGCGACTGTCATGGTTGAACTCGTTTTTGGTAAACCTTGACAGCAGGTTGCTCTTTCCAACCCCTGATTCTCCAATTAAAACCACTGAAAGACAACCAAGACAGCATTTAACTTACTTTGAATGATGCGTAGTTAAAGGAAAATACAATTTCCACACTTCACTAGTTGCAAACCTGTTTGACATTCTTTCTTCTGTTGAACACAAAAGAAGATATTTAGAAAAATGCTGGAAACCTGTTTCCATTGACTTCCATTGTATTTGTTTTCCTACTATGAAAGTCAATGGTTACAGATTTTTAACTTTCCTCAAAATATCTTCATATCTATTCTGGAACCGCTTGAAGGTGAATAAATAGTGAGTAAATATTAATTTTTGGGTGAACTACCCCTTTCAATTTCTGACACAATTGGAAATACATGAAAATACAAAATAACAAATATCTTTTATATATTAGATTAGCATGCTAGGCATCAGACGCAGCAATCACAGTAAAAGCATTTAATCTTCAATCAGCTGACTGAAACTTACCTTTGAAGACAAAGTTGTAGGCTAAATCTGTCCCCATGTTGTCTCTAGCTGTAATGTGTCAGTCTGTGTTTAGTGCATACGTGTTACTCGAGCTCAGAATCCACTGGGAGGAGAAAAGCAGATGCTCAGGTTTCTCCGACAGCTTTATTGATCCATTCTTGCAGGTCTAAATGCAGATTCAGCCAGACTCTTCTTTGAGACAGTTTGGGTGGGAAAGCAGGTGAAACTGGTAGAACCACTGACACACACACACACACACACACACAATGGGAGTGACTTCATTCTCTCACACACACTACTGTTAAATCACCGTTCCTTCACTCCGACTGCGTGTATGTATCCAGTTCTGTATGCGCAAAAACAAATATCAGAAGAGCTGAGTCAGAAAAACAAGCCGTCCTGCATCAACATGTATCTTTATAGGCAACAGGTTGAGTTTCTGTAAACATAAAATAAAAGGGGTTTTGATTAGTTTGACGTAATCAAAACAAAAGCTTTGAATTTAGCTCATTTTAATGCAAATTTACCTGTTTAGCCCAGTGTTTGGCTCATGTTTAGGCTTGTGAATCACACCTCTGCTGTTCATGCATCTTTTTTCACAATAACCATTGTGTATATTGTTTGGTACAGACAGCCAGGGGTGTGAAATATGTGTGTAATCTTATTAAATGAATGTTCATTCATTCATTTTCCTTCAGCTTTCCTTCAGCTTTCCTTCAAGATCGACACAGTGGAGTGAACCGCCAACTATTTTAGCATATGTTTTATGCAGCGGATGCACTTACAGCGTTGCAACCAGGGTGCGAATTACAGGGGGTTTCGCGGGAGAACTGACCCCCCTAAATAATGCTTTATCCCACCTGAAGCACATCAAAACAGCGTGTATGGGGGTCAGTCCTCTAAAAAGAGAGAAATAGAGGTTACTCTGATTTGTTTCTTAAAAGATAATATAAAAACTGATAATAATAGGGGCGTCACAGTGGCACAGTAGGTAGCACCATCGCCTTACAACAAGAAGGTTGCTGGTTCAAGCCCCGGCTGGGTCAGTTGGCATTTCTGTGTGGAGTTTGCGTGTTCTCCCTGTGTTCGCATGGGTTTCCTCCGTGTTCTCCGATTTCCCCCACAGTCCAAAGACATGTGCTATATAGGTGAATTGGGTATAGACCATAGATAAATTGTCCATAGTGTGTGTGAATGAGTGTGTATGGGTGTTCCCCAGTGATGCAGCTGGAAGGGCATCTGTTGTGTAAAACATATGCTATAAGTAGGCCCACACAGAATCTGCGCACACAGAATTCTGCAGATTTTCCGCAGAATTCTGCAGATTTCTGCAGATTTTTAGCCCATCATTAATTCTGTTTATTTACTTGAGTAAGTGTGTATATCTGAATTTATTCAGTTTTTATTCAGTAATTTATTTCTTTTTATTTAATACATTAAGGTCTTAGTTATGATACTCTGCTGGATACTCCCAAAATAATTCCGCAGAAAACCACAGATTTTTACCAAAATTCTCAGCAGAAATAGCAAAAAACGTCCGCAGATTCCGTCTGGCCCTGGCTATAAGTTGGCGGTTTATTCTGCTGTAGCAACTTCTGATTAATAAATGGACTGAAAATAAAATAAAATGAATGAAAAAAATAGATTATATATACATTTGACCACCCCTATATTTATTCATATCATTGTGAATGCACAATCAGTCTATGTGAGAAACAAATTATTTATCAGTCTGAAACCATCAGATCAAAGCACCGATAGACAACCAAAGTGTTCGTAAGACACTTTTCTTGTAAAACAGCAGTTTGTTTCTACATATAACCTGAAAGTGAACTCAAATTAGATGCATAGTTTTTATAGTTTGACCTACAGTAAACTCTGGAATAGCTAATCAGAGGATATCGTAGGTCAGAATACACTAAATATCGCACAAAACACTGGAAACTTAAATATGTTTATTAATAAATCAGATTAATTAAACTAGCTCAAATAAATACATTCATGTGATTCACTAAAGCATGTATTACACAAACTAACGTTAACATACCAAAAAGGTTACCCTCCTGTTGGTGAATGTATAATTTGCACCTTGGGCACAACCCAGTACTGGAAAACACCCATACACTCTATCATTCACACACACATTCATACACAGGGCCAATTTAGTTTATTTAATTCACCTATAGCACATGTCTTTGGACTGTGGGAGAAACCGGAGCACCTAGAGGAAACCAACTTGCGGAGAACATGCAAACTCTATGCAACAGCACTAACCACTAAGCCACCATGCCACCTTAAATTAATGTACTTTAGTTTAATTTTTGGGAAACGTTTTTAAATGACAAAAATGTAATTTATATTGAGTGCTTGTGCTTGATTTGAAGAAAACCATTAATTTTATAATGCCTATCATTTTATTTCACTTTGAAAAGTAATTGCTTCACTGTTGTTTTTTCCTCCATCTTACACACAATGGGGTATATGCACACAAACTTTTAATTTCAGTCAGTCAGCCCCATTGCTTCCGGTTAATTGTCATCCCAAACTAAATTGCAGCGTTTAAGATCTGATTTCTTTAAATAACAGCAATCTTCACTGCCTGGCTGAGATGCGATATATAGTGGGTATCAGACCTAGCATAAAAACACTGCATTAATTTATAGACTATTTTTCCACACCATGTCATTAAAATATGGAAATTAATTTTTCCTCAGTATTTTTTTTAAAGTTTTTGCGCTTACTCGCTGCTAATGACGGCGCCTGCATTTAAACGGTTTTTATGCTTTACCAACCAAATATTTAACTGAATGTATTGTAATTATATTACAACATCGATGCTGTAAAAGAAACCTTATGAAATTAAAGCTTTTATAAAGCTTTCGCTAGAAGTTTATCATTGGCTAAAAAAAACTAGCTGTGCATATAGCTTATTGATAAATTTAAAAGTTTGTATGTTAACAGCACACATTTCAGCGTATGTTATTACTTATCTAAAAGAAACTTCTTTCATCATCAAATCTAAAAGTATACTGAGGTAACTTAGCTCACCCAAAATTTATTTTTAATACATTCTTATAAAGTCTATCCACTTGTGTGCCATTTTAAGTCTTATTTGTTTTTAACCATTAATTAAAAACTTTAATTTGTACTTTTTTACCTCACTTTTTTACTTTGTTAGTACACTGTAAAAAATTCCACACAATTTGTTCATTGTCTCAACAAATTTAATTGGTTTAAACATAAAACAATTAAGTTGCCCCCACAAATCACAAGAATTGTGTTGCTTCAGCTTGAACAAGCAGTTTGTGTATTTCTACTTCCACTTAAGTATGGTAGGTCATTTGAGTACTTTATACAGCTCGTGATAATATTAACTTGCATATTTAATTAATTGTTACTTATGTGATAAAAACCATGCGGTAGCCTACTGTTTGTTTCGTCGCCACAGATCTGTCCATTAGACAGTCTGACTGGGTCCTGGCTTAGCACAGCTGTGGCTCCATTTTATGACCTTTAACAACATAAAAGACATATTAAGTAACTTCCGAACAAAAACAGACAAAGGACGTAGTAAATCATAATTTGACATCCACAAAATCGGCAATGTTCATCTTCCTCTCCTGTGGGCGGCAGCACTGCGATGACAAGACGATGTTGAGGTGATTTCAGCAAAAAGAACTGCTTCCGTCTGTACACACGCCGGGGTTCATCATGGCGGCGGGACCGATTTCAGAACGAAATCAAGGTATATTTGATAAATTTAACTTTTTAGTGAAATTGTTATGTAGTGTTCGGGGTAAGTGATGGATTGCAGCATTATTGAACACCTTAAGTTCTTCCTATGTTCTATGATACAGTCAAATCGCTCATTTTCATTCATTCAAACATGTTGGCTTAACAAATAAAAACAAAGAAACGTTTGAGTTTTGGTTTTAATGAAGTGTAACAAAACAATCATGCATATTTCAATATGCTTATTATTATCGGAATTAATAAATTGTATATAAATAATGCATCTAACGTTAAATAAAATACTATGTTTGTGTTCAGTGTTGTCATTTATATTGATCATCTTTTATCTGCAGATGCCACTGTATATGTGGGTGGTCTCGATGAGAAGGTCTCTGAGCCTCTTTTGTGGGAGCTTTTCCTTCAAGCTGGTCCTGTTGTAAACACACACATGCCCAAAGACAGAGTAACAGGACAACACCAGGGTGAGTTACCACGTCTTTAAATCCATTGGGGTAAAGTTGCTTTTATACTCCCTCATTCGGTCTTTCCTCTTAATATAATTTAGCAAAAGTATTCTTTGCAAATTATAAGAAGGAAAATGACATTAGCAGTCAAAGACTATCAAAGTTCAATATTGTTCACAGACAATGAAATAGTTGCATTATATTTTAGACCATATATTCAAAGTAGCGTGGTAAACAATACAGGAACTGTGTTCCTAACAAGTTTGCATAATACCAGCCAGTGGCTGCTAAATATCTAGTTTTGCTCAATCTTACGTTTGTTTGTGTTGTTGACATTGTTGAACAAAACCCCAGTTATAAGTACTGATTTTGTTTTTATTTGTACTTTTTATTATTTATTGTATAATTTTTTTTTACCCAAATCTTGTGTTTGTTTGTTACAACTGCAATTCTGCACACTTACTTTTGCATTCATAGGCTGCAGACTTGGAAGTCCACAAAAACTGATTGAGGTATAATTGGTTTTATATTTGCACATTCTGACTTTCTCCTTAACTATATAATTTCAGAAAAATATTATATTTAAATTCTAAACAGTGAAACCATATTAGCAGCCGATGACTACAACACTGTTCACAGACAATTAAATAGTGTAATGTTGTTTGTAGTGTAATACTTGCATGCAAATTTAGACTGAATATTGAAAGTAGTGTGGTAAACTATATAGTAACCGTTAAAATGAATAAATTTGCGAATGTAAAACCTTCTTTACCTCAATCAAAAACTGCCTGTGTGTTATCAAATCTATCCTACAGAGAATTGATATTGATTTTTATCTTATTATATTTCACAACAAGGGACGGTGTACATTAAATTTAACTTATTTTTTGTTTTTAAGACTGTAAAGCACTTTGAGCAGCCTTCTGATTGTAAAAATGTGCTATATAAATAATTTGATTGATTGATTGATAAATCAACATTGCCTAATATTGTAAATGTAGTCAAATTAGTACTCAATACTCAAATCATATTTGAGTAATTCTTATGTATTGTATTAAGAAATTAAAGTGTATTTTAACATTGAATGCATGTCAGGGTTCAACGGCAAGGATTTTGTCTACTGGGCCGATCGGGCCAGTGGTTGAGATTTTCACTGCCCCCACCAAAAACAACAAAAAGTTAATAGTTATGTCTTAGCCACATATTTTAAATAATAATAGAATTTAAACATTTCAAAAATGGTAATAAATGTATAATGAGCAAAATTCAAGATTTTATGCCAACGAAAGAGCAGTATGGAAAAAAAAGCTGGTATTTTATTGCAACTCTAAATTATTTTTATAAAAATGGCTTGCCAAACTGACAACCTTTTTTTTTTCTCTCTCCAGTTTCTTAATTTTGTACACATGTATTGTCTGCTTCCAATACTTTAGAAACAGACATTTTCTTTTAGCCTCATCGTTTGATGTTGCTGCCATTTTGCCATGTTTTCGATGTACTTGTTGTGACCAGGTTACGAAAAAAATAACGTGCGATAGGGGCCAGTAACAATCCTGTCTACTGTCCCGAGCGCCTTTCAAGCTGGCCCCGGGCCACCGGGCAGTCCTTATTGTTGAGCCCTGCATGTAAAACAAAATTAGGAACTTTTAACAACCTAATAGGATCACTTCAAAAACTGGTATCGCTCTCTCTTCTTCAGGTTATGGCTTTGTGGAGTTTCTCAGCGAAGAAGATGCGGACTACGCCATAAAAATAATGAATATGATCAAACTTTACGGCAAGCCCATACGAGTCAACAAAGCTTCAGCGCACAACAAGAACCTCGACGTTGGTGCCAACATCTTCATTGGCAACTTGGACCCTGAGATCGACGAGAAATTACTTTATGACACATTCAGCGCTTTCGGTGTGATCCTTCAGACCCCCAAGATCATGCGAGACCCCGATACGGGCAACTCGAAGGGTTACGCCTTCATCAACTTTGCCAGTTTTGATGCGTCAGATGCGGCTATCGAGGCTATGAATGGCCAGTATCTGTGTAATCGGCCCATCACTGTTTCATACGCGTTTAAGAAAGACTCAAAGGGTGAAAGACATGGGTCAGCAGCCGAGCGTCTCCTTGCCGCACAGAATCCACTGTCCCAGGCCGATCGCCCACATCAGCTTTTCGCAGATGCTCCACCTCCTCCAAGCATGCCCACGCCTGTCATGACTGCCCTCGGAGCAGCCATGCCTATTCCAGGTTAGAGATGAGAAACATCTTAATGACATGTTGCAAATGTTTTTCACATTTCCAGGTTCAAAGTCGTCAGAGTTGGATAAATTTAGAGTGAAGTGAATGGGAGAGTACAACAAATATTTTTTATTCACAATCCTGTTTGCTGAAATAGTAAAAGAAAAACTTCACTATGGTGTTATCAAGACTTTCAAGAAAGAAAAGAAAATAATGTGAGACTGATAACGACAGACAGAAAATAGAACAACATCAAATTTACTGTCCTGCCCTATAGACGCTGCATTTCAAATGCCACACATAGGTGGTAATTTAATGCAAAGATGATGTAGCACATACATAAATACATAAAAATGTTAATAGTTTTTAAATAATCTATTAAAAATATATAAAAAGATTTAAGATAGGGCTGTATGATATTGGAAAAATGTAATGTAACCCACAGTTCCTACTGCACCTATTCCATTCTGAGCTGGGATCAAACTGGCGATTCTTTGTAATGGAAGCCGGTTGCTCTACCAGGGAGGCTAAAGACCATGGCCTCTAGCTTCTGTGTCTAGAATACCTTTTGAGGTCAGAGGAGTGACGTTTACCTGCGTAGCCCTTTGCTATCTGGCCTCCGTTACACTCACCCTCCTAAACCTCACTGCTCACTCCCATTCCAGACGAGCCCTCAAGTGTAACCCACCGGTTCCTCTGCACCCAACCCGGTCTGAGCTGTGACTGGCAATTTGTTGTATGGGAGTCGATTGCTCTAACAAGGAGGCTAAAGACCATGGCCTCTAGCGTTTGTCGTTAGAGCACCTTTTGAGGTTAGAGAAGTGAGGTTTACCTGCTTAGTACTTCGCTAGCTGGCCTCTGTTACACTCACCCCCCTAAGCCTCAGTCTCATCCTGGACGAGCCCCCAAGTGTAATCCACCAGTTCTACTGCACCCGACCTGGTCTGAGCTGGGATCGAAACGGTGATTCTTAGTATGGGAATTGGTTGCTTCAACAGGAAGTCTAAAGACCATGGCCTCTAGCGTCTTTCACTAGAGCACCTTTAGAAGACAGAGGAGGGAGAGGTTTACCTGCTTAGCACTTAGCTAGCTGGCCTCTGTTACAGTAACGTTGTGATATTTTGTTAAAATACAACTAGTAATCTACAAGCAAAGATCAATACTATAAGATGTAAATAAAATTGAATGGTTTTCTGATGAGTCTAACGGTATTTAAGTAGTAGTTGAATAATCAAATGTTAAATACTGTGTGTCTTTGTTTTATAAATAATCCTATAAAAAAGAAAGTTAGAAACAGTACAGTTTCTCAGGTCTGAATATATTTAATACCCTCAGTCACAGGCCTCAAAAACACACATAAGTCATAATTTATTATCCAGACTGTACATTGAGGGTCCTGCAATTTGACTATTGTATATGAGCACATTGCGATATCTATGCTGAAATGATATACAGCTTTAATTTAAGATGCTGATGATCGTTAAACGCGCCATAACAGTTCTTGTGAAAAGGGTCCATTGCACATCCCTACGTTATAAAAAACCTTTCTTTAATTTGGTTAAAGAGGTTTAAACTTTACTTTCACGTTCAAAGACATCAGCCAGGGTTCCTACACTTTTTGAAAGTACTTCGATTTTAGACATACGGATTTAAGGCTTGTAGAGTACTCAAAAACAAATCAGGTCCTTAATAGTGCTTGATTTAAATTTGAAATGAAGTTAGTTTAAGGTGTTATTGTAGCAATTGTACTGTCCTGCTGACAAAAACAGAACTAAAATGGAAAATTCTTTATATAAAAATATTACATTTACATCTTGTACAAAAACGATGACAAATAATGCACATTTCATGAAAGAGAGGAAACCCTGATCAATAAATGCTGGCATTTTAATTATCACTGAGAGAATTTCTGCAGGTCTTTAAAAGTCATTCACCCTTTTACAGTTTCTTAAATCAGAGCAGATAAAAATCATAAAACATGGGTGCAAACTTGTCACTTTTCAGTCACGTGACCAGTATTTTGACACAATGTGTTCTTTTAAAAAATAAATCTTTACTTGGTCATAAAGTCATAAATGTACCTTAATAAAAGCCCTAATAAAATAAGATTTGTTTTATGAAATGGGTCATGGTTATTTAAAACAAGTTAAATATCAAATCCTTTCTATTTAACTTGAGGTGTATTAAAATGTGTCATTTCACTTCAATATTTAATATTTATATTTTTTATTTTACATAAATATTTAATGTTTTCTACAAAAACTCTTAAAAAAAATACCCCCGTCACATTTTGATGAAATAAAACACAAACAGGTATTGACCTTATTCTTAGCCGACGAGCAGGCGCTGCCATTTGAATCTTTTTGGCACGAGACTTCCGGTCTCATTCACTTACATTCATTTTTAGACATTAAAAACTGCTCGTTTCGCTGTTTGATGTTGCAAACTGATATTTCTCTGTTATATTATTCTACTTGGTCTGTATAGTCATGCAAACATTTGTTTGTAGAGCAAGTAGTTTGACCATTTTCTGCCGTTTATTATTCCTAGTCATTTCTCCCATAGGCGACTGAAATGGAAGTTCTAAGACAATCGCGAAAACAGGCGCACTTCCGCAATTTAGAATGTCAATACAGTAGTAGAAAACATCAGTTATTTTAATTTAAAGTCTCTAGTCATAATTCTAACCTAGGATTAGGTGTAAAATAATGTCATAAGTCTGTAAAACTTTATAGCCTAAAAGAAAATAGAAATGTTTTTCTGGTGATTCAAGTTACCATACTGTTATTTTTTTTCTGCATCAACTCTTTGCATGTTAATCTTGCAGGAATGCCTCCTCCCGGTGCTTTCCCACCTGTTCCTCCTCCTGGCACAATGCCACCTGGGATGCCTCCCGGTATGCCCATGCCTCCAGCACCAGGTACTCCTGCGCCACAGGGCGGTGGAGGACCCCCACCGGGACACCCGCCCTTCCCTCCTGCTGGAATGCATCCGCCAGGAATGCCGCATATGCCGATGCCTCCAACGGGACCTCCAGGAATGGTGCCTCCCCCACCTGGCCCACCAGGATCTAACCAACCAAGAGCACCGCCTCCACCACAAATGCCTCCTCCACCCATGGGTGTCCCTCCCAGAGGACCCTTTGGACCCCCAATGGGTATGTATGTGTGTGTGTGTGAAGGAGACTGACTTGTTGTGTTAGTATGTATTGAAATCATGAAATAATATTAAATTATAAATTATAAATCATAGTATTATGAATATATCAGTATTTTATATGATCATTATCACAATATAATGATGGTTTATATATATATATATATATATATATATATATATATATATATATATATATATATATATATATATATAAAACGTGTATGTGTGTGTGTTTTTATTTATGCAATGATTTATACAAATCTTCATCTACTTTTAACAGGTCCACCAATGCATCCGGGTATGAGGGGTCCTCCTCCACCAATGCCGCCTCCAGGTTATGGTGCGGGACCACCCAGACCCCCACCCTTTGGTTTTCAGAGAGGGCCTCCCATGCCGCCTCGTCCTCCTGCACCCAGAGGTCCGATGAGAGCACCGGCACCTTCCTAAACCCCCATGTGAAGACCAAACTTTGTCTCGTTTTTATTTTACAGTCTGCGCTCTATTAGATGGATCTCTTGCTTCTTTGTACACAGATTTCTTAATTTTGGTCAATGTACCTTTTCGGAATTAGCAAGAATAAACAGTTTTATATAACATGGTGGTGGTATTTTAAGTGGACTTTTAAAAACTCTCTACTATCATCAAACATTAATATCGCTATAATATGAATACATAGAATCAGAAGGATAGGATTATAGTTCCTAGACATATCAGCCTAGAACAGGGATCACTAAACATGTTCCTGGAGGTCTGGTGTCCTGCAGATTTTAGCTTCAACCTTAATCAAACACACCTGATCAAGGTCTTACTAGGTATACTTGAAACACCCAGGCAGGTGAGTTGAGGCAAGTTGGAGCTAAACTCTGCAGGGCACTGGACCTCCAGGAACGAGATTAGTGACCCCTGCCCTAGAATATTGTAACTTTTAATTTTCTGTCGGTCTTAGCCAGGGGTGTACAATCTCAGTCCTGGAGGGCCGGTGTCCTGCTGAGTTTAGCTCCAACTTCCTTCAACACACCTGCCAGGCAGTTTTTAGTATTTATAATAAGAGCTCATTTAGCTGGTTCAGGTGTGTTTGATTAGGGTTGAAGCTAAACTCTCCAGGACAACGGCCCTCCAGGACCAATTTGGACACCCCTGGTGTTAGTACACCATGTAAACTACAGAAAAGTCCAACTTAAATAGGAAATTGATTAAAAACTTTTCCTTTTTGAGTGAGATGCTACTGGTCTAATCTGATTCAATGATGTATTCCCGCCAGACTCAAAGATATCAGCTGAATGGATTCAAAAATGGAAAAACCCGACTGTTTAATTACTTTTATGTTAATTGATACCAATGGGGTCATATTTTGCCCGCAAAAAAAGTAATTCACACTATTAAACCACCAGCAGCTTAGTTTATATAAGAGAGGATAGATTTGTGTTTCATTTACACCAAATTATGCCCCAAAAATTTGAATGTTAAAGCAGAAATTGAGACTCTTCAGATTAGGCAACCATTGCTGCCGTTTGATTGGATAATTCTATATTTGTGTTACTGAACATTTGAATTGGTGAAATACTAAATCGATCACCAAATAAGTAGCCAGTGAGCGTACACCATACAAAAACCTCAAAACATGCAATTCTGAGTGTGCCTCACATAGGTGAGTGGGTTTGACAAACCACCTGTAGAAAACACACTTTCATCTGACACTTGCACATTTGTACCAGACGCTTTCTTACACTCCATATCTATTAATAAAAATATAAACTTTGTGCATTTATGAAGTGCACTTTACAAAGGTGGGTGGGTTGGTTAAACCACCCGAAGAAACACTCATGAATACAAAAAAAAAAACTTTTTACAAACTCCAAATCAACAGTTTTGTAAGTATCCTAGAAACTCAAACTCGATTTCTGGAGGGCTCCAAGGGTTTTGCTCCAACCCTAATCAAACACAACTGATCCAACTTATCAAGGTGTTCAAGACTAAAGCTGCGGTCACACTAAGGTTTGATAATGCGAAATTTTGTCATGCGGCGCTGCGAAAACAGGTGGGATTAAACAAGATAAGACGTTTAAAAAGCGAGTGAGCGTTTAAATTTCTTTCCAGAGAAGTCATGTTTTGATCCTCAATTGGCCTCACGCAGCCAAGTGATGCGATTTCACTAGTCAAGAGTTCACCAAGCTTGAACTTTGCACTGCAGCGACCTGCGAAACTTGACACGTGACCTTGCGTTTCCGGTCTGACGCATTCGCGTGCGTATGAATGGAAGTCTATGGGGAGAAAAGTCCAGTGTGAACGCAGCTTTATAGAGACTGTTGAGCAGGTGCGAGTTGGAAGTGGTTGAACTAAACTATGCAGAGCTGTAGCCCTCCATTAATTGAGTTTGAGACCATTGCTTTAAACTATTATCTAAAGAAAAATAAATGAGCAACACAAAATGTACGTGGAAGCCAACATTGGTAATTGGAACATTTTTAATCAAAAATAAGTCAAAGGATTTATACATCATTTAAGCACAGCGCTCAAGATTTAGCATTAACATCGGTGTAGTTACGTAAATTGTAGTGCCGGTTTGTTATTGAGGTTTATACAATGAGGGAATGGTCTTGTCTTTACTTAAAAGGGGAAATAATCACATATTTTCTATGTGAGAAACTAAACTTTATCTGAACTAGATTGAATGAACCATTAACTATGGTTATTTAAAGTAATTTTGGTCATTTTTTTGTTATTTAGCGGCATTTGATAATGCATATTTCATTATCCACCTCAAAACCAACTACTGATTAGTTAATATTTCAGGGAGTTCACATTTTACACTATAAAAGCTAAACCTTGATGCTGAAAGTAGACTTTTTACATTTGTGAAAGCAGTAATCGTTCTTTAAAATCATTAAAACAAAAGAGCAAACATTATACACAGAGATGAGAAATACATTACACAAGGAATGCGAGTTAAACGTACAATAAATGGGAATTATATCTTATAGCCATTAAAACAAATACTATATATGCGATAATTGGTGTTTATGAATGAGAACTAAAAACATGCGAAGGCACTTTTAATTGACCTACAGATTATTTTCTAAATTGTTCAACAGCAAAAAAATAATATGAGGGAACGTGTGCATTATTTTATTTCAATGCATAGAACACATAACACTGCTGCAATCTGAGATGAAGCTTCAATGTTTGCTCTCGAAAGCGACGAAACTGTCTGAATAAGGCAGCTACATTTCTACAGGAGCTCAAAAAGACGTAAGATTTGCGAAGAGTTCCATCCTGAGTGACTCTTTTTCCAGCTGTGTGGAAGAACCACATCTAGGGTGATTCACAAGTGTTCGCCTTTAGGGACGCTACAGATACAGACTCCCAGAAAAAATCAAATCTTCCCAGGTCTTTTGTGTGTTTGTGAGTGTGCATATGATGCACATTGTGGTTGTTTCTTCATGAACTTTCAAATCGAAGCAAGAAACGTCAACCGAAACAGAAAAAGGAAATAAATTACAAAAAAAGGACTTTAAAGGAGGAACACTCCACTTTAAAAATAAAGGTCAATTTTACAACTCCCCTGGACAGTTCAGTTTGACCATTTTGGATCCATTCTGCTTATCTTGAAGTCTGGCGGGAGCACTTTTAGCTTAGCATAAGTAATTAAATCAGATTAGACCATTAGCCTTTTGTTAATGAAAAAAAAAGTTTATATTTTATAAGTGATAATATTCCTGTTTAAAGCTTGACGCTTCTGAAGGTACATTGTGTACCAAGAACAACAGAAAATGAAAAGTTGCTATTTTCTAGGCCCATGTGTCTAGGAACTATACTATCATATGGTAATAATCAAGAAACTTTGCTGCTGTACCATGGCTGCAGCAGGCACAATGATATTACATAGCTGGAGACTATTGTTAGGCACTGCATGATGTCATTGCACCGGTTGAAGCCATGGTACAGCAACAAAATTCTGTTTTTATCAGGCCAGAAGAAGATTATAGTTCTTAGACATAGATAAATAGTTCCAGATAGATAGATGTATAGTTCCTAGACATATCAGCCTAGAAAATAACAACTCTTCACTTTCCATTGGTCTTAGTACACAATGTAACTACAGAAGATTCAAGCTTTAGATACAAAAATAATCAAAAACAATCAAATTTTTGGATGAAATGCTAATGGTCTAATCTGATTTAATTATCTATGCTAAGCTAAGCTAAAAGCGCTGCCGCCAGATCAGTTGACTGGATTTAAAGATCTCTGTAAATCTCATCTAACTCTAGAGGGGGGTTGTAAAATGAGAATAACTTCAAAATAAGTGGAGTGAAGTGTTCCTTTAATGCAGGGATGTCCAAATTCGGTCGTGGAGGGTCGGTGTCCTGCAGATTTTAGCTCCAACTTCCCTCAACACACCTCCATGGATGTTTCTAGAAAGCCTAGTAAGAGCTTGATTAGCTAGCCCAGGTGTGTCTGATTGGGGGTGGAACTAAACTTTGCAGGACACCAGCCCTCAAGGACCGAGTATGGACATGCCTGCTTTAATGGGATAGTTGACCCAAAAATTTGAATTTACACACCATTTACTACACTCTTGTGGTTTCAAAGTGGTGTTTTTCTGCTGAACACAAAAGAACGTGAAAACTGGTAGCCATTGGCATTTAAAGTAGAAAAAAAAATACTATGGAAGCCAATGGTTAGACGTTTTCAACATTTTTAAAAATATCTTCTTTTGTGTGTGTTCAACACGTCAAGTCAAACTGGTTTGGAAAAAGTGGAGCAAATGATGACTATTTGATTTTTTTCGTGAGAGGTAGTCATTGGCATTCAAAGAAGAAAAAACACACTACAGAAGCCAATGGTTATACATTTTTAACATACTTCAAAACATCTTCTTTTGTGTGTGTGTGTGTTCAAACCGGTTTGGAAAAAGTCTAGTAAATGATGACCGCTTTCATTTTTGCGTGAACTATCCCCTTAATTGCTGGAAAAATCAAAGCTAACCAAGCTGTGCTGATGCACTCTTTGGTTTCTTGAATATTCAGTCCATGTTTTGGGGTGGTCTCTTATGAAACGACTTCAGTGTGACCCGCTGTTGCTTCCACCAAAGTGATCTGCTCTTCGGCAGATTCGATTTCTTCAGTTTTGATGATGACATCGCCTTCAGAAAACACCACGACCTCCTCCTCCCCCTCCGCTGTTTCTTCGACAGCGAGCTCCTCCTGTACGAACACGACGTGCTCCTGCTGGAGAGCTGCTGTGCCGTTGCTCTGTCCGTTTTCCATGGCCTCTAGCTTCATGCGGTACTCCTCGGCCTCCTGCTCTTTGCGGAGCAGCTGCTGTCGATACGATTGAGCTTTTCTGTTAGCTTCCTGCAGCTGCCACTGGAGATGCTCCTGGAGGATGAGGACAAGATAGAGCGGGGTTAAAAAAGTCATCTGGAGTGTTTTGGATTTGGGATGCATCAACATGGAGAGGTACATCAAACCAATAAAAGTGTAATTGTGATTAGGTGCGTCCCAAATCACATACTTGTGGATTATTCTACGCCACTTTGTAGTATAAATAGAGTAAGTTCACACTGAAAACTCTAAAAAGAATAAGACCTTTAAATCCCTGGATGATGCACTTATTCAACCGTTAAATTGAAGTGTAGAATGTTGGACACTTCCTGCACTCAACGTCCGCTGTTTGATCATGTAGCAGAAGGGCGGAGCTCTAAGGCACTGATGTTTGATTATTTATTGATGGATTGTGGAAGCAAAATTCTCCTATGAGAATGCTTATCCACTTGTTAAGTGTGACGTCACGCAAAGCAGCTTCCGGGTTCAAGCGCTCTATTCAACTGAATGGGGAGACTCATGAAATGGTAATAATAAACGTTTACAAAGCGATTTAATGCTTTCGAAAATCACGATCGCAATATATATGTCCATGCCTAATATCCGATGGCCAGAAAGTGATTAATTTTATTATAAATTGTTCAATTTTTGGTATTTGTTATGCAGCAAGCCCAGAGATTGTTGCATAAACTATGATTTTATATAAAATTAATTAACTTTAATGTGTGATAGGAATAAAACGTGATAATAAACGAATGATTTCTCCACTCAAATGAATGGCGGCTTGGACCCGGAAACAGTATTACATACGTCACCAACACGTCATCACTTAACAAGCGGATACCACCTCCTGATTGTAAATGCAGTTATACTCATAGCAGGTATTCTTTGGTAGTTTGGTCATTTATTTTGCTGATTTAGCAACCATCAAAAGTCATCAGGGAAACGGCTTGAATTTCCGCTTAGTAAAACAAAATTATAGTTCCATCTGGACCTACACTACATTCATTTACTAGGCTGTTGAGTGTGTAAGTGCATAAGTACATACTGCGTAGCGTGCCATTTAGGACGCAGCTATTGTGATAGTTATGTTTTCTGGTTACTTCCTTTTTTGGGCAAAAATAATTATTCTTATATATTTTTACTATCATTTATAAATGACACCTACTAAAATCTCTATAAAAGTTCAAGATTATTACTAAAATGTAATAATAATAATAATAATAATAATAATACATCGTTTTATTCAGACATATTTGAAGATTTTATTTCTACAAAAGTGATTCAGTACATAAATTGAAAATGAATTTGAGGGGGCATCTCATCTTTGACCCATACACATACCCAGCTGTATTTATCACACTCACCGTTTCACCAGTCTCTGTATTATTGGACGCAACTTCAATCTTCCTTTTACGGGCAGGAGGTTCAGACTCCTCCACCACTTCCTCTGTGATCTGATTGGCAGGAACTGCCAATACTAAAATACAAATCAAATGAATAAATCAAAGAGGTATACTAGTAATTCAACAAAAACAAAAAAAACAAAAAAAATATTTACTACCCCACCAAGAAAAAAACAATGTTTGGATTGCATTTCGTAACTCCTAACGTCGCTAGTTAACACACTCAATACATTTTTTCAACTGTTTTTTTTTTTTTGAATAATTTCTAAAATATCAACCATTTGGTAGAGGTTGATAAGTCGGTTTATGGTAAAGTTAACGAAATTATACATATACTATAAAAAAATCTGAAAATATGACGTGCAAGACCAATTTATATAAAATAAAATATTCTAAATAAAACATTATTAAATGTTATTTAAAAATTATTAAATCACCTTTATTTTTTTGAAGTATGAAAGATACTACAAACGCCTCTCAAAAAATGTAGTGACACGTAACGCAAGCTCTGTGAATGGTCAGCTGTGACAGCTGCGAGCCCAATGGAGCGAGTGTACAGTCCCATGACGGAGCTCCAGATGGAAACTGTTGTGTTTCCTTGCGATTAAAGTTGTTGCACGTTCGTCGGTTCCTGCCTCTGAATGAGAGAGTTGTAGCTACTTGTAGATTAAGGTAGCATTCAGAAAACACCCATAAAGCAACTCGACACAGAGAAACATAATAACCTACTGCCAGCTGCGTTTTGGAAGTGTTAATGCAGAGGAACACAAACAGCAGCACACAGAAGTTTAAATGAACGACTATGCGCAAGGCATGCACTGTGGGTCACGGCGATCACTCGACACAGAAGTATAAATCAGCCTTTAAAGACTGCCAACGTACCTGGTGTAAGAATTATATAGTTATTTTTTTCTCCCTTTTTTGCTTCACTTGCATACTTTAATGTTCCAAAAACTTGTTTCCCACAGTATCGAAAATCGATATTTTTCAAGGTATTGTAAGAAAGTTGGAAATTCCAGTATCGTGACAACACTAGTAAGCAATACCTTGTCGTCCATCCTGCATCGTTACAAAAAACGGCTGACCAAGTCCATTAGTCTGCAGGTTTCCATGTTGATCTGTTAATATGGTTATGACCCTCTGACCCGATTCATTCACCACCTGCTGGATACTCGAGTCCAAAGCACTGACAGCGATGGCCTCCTCAGTGTCACCTAAAAATCAGCCAAAAACCAAAACAAAAGGTGGTTCAATGACTAGTTGAAATTATAAAGCACCAATCAATGGTTATACGACCATAATCTTTAATTAATCAAACAGCATTGTTTACCAGAGTTGGTTTTGATCAAGTCTGTGAGATTTACGACTCCCCCTTGGATGTTCGGGACGCCCTGAATGATGAACTGTGGTGTTGAGGAGCCGTTTATGATTGATGCTTCTGCATTTCTGTTCACCTGATTCTCCATTCCCTCCTAAAAGACAACAAGAGCTTTATATATTGACCATGCAGTTGGAATAAAGGGACAGTTCACCCAAAACTGAAAATTCTGTCATCATTTGCTTATTCTGAATCTTTTGAGTTTCTTTTGATCACAAAAAAAGATATTCTAGAAGCCATTGACTTCCACTGTTTTTTTTGTTTGCACTATGCAGCTTAAAGCCTGATTTATACTTCTGCGTCAAGTGACCGGCGTAACCCACGGCGCATGCAACGCGCGTGGCTGTGCATTTATACTTCTGCGCGCTGTCTCTGTTGGTCTGCATTAACACTTCCGAAACGCTAGTTGGCAGTGAGGTGTAAATGTTCCTCTGTGTCGAGTTTCTTTGCTGCTTTTTTGCTTTTCCTGAACACTTCCGGGATGTACAAGTGGCTCAAACTCGCTCATTTTGAGGCAGGAACCGGCGGACGTGCAACAACTTTAACTATGAGGTAAACACAAAACAAAACTTTCCATCCGGAGCTCCTTCACGGGACTCCACACTTGTAAACAATCGATCGCGCCATTCGCGCGGCTCTCGGTCCCGCCCAGACTTGTCAGCGCTACCAAGCCGACCAATCACAGAGCTTACGCTACGCGTCGTTGCGACGTGAAGTTACATTTTTTGAGAGGTGCATGTCAGTGACGGCGACGGCCACGTTTGACGCAGAAGTATAAATCAGCCTTAAGACCAGTTACTCACTGAAGCGAAGCAGGCTGAGCCTGGTCACTACCTCGATGGGAAAACTAGGTTTGCTGTTGGAAGTGGTGTTAGTGATGCCAGCAGGGGGAGCTCAACCTGCGGTCTGTGGGAGTCCTAATGCCCCAGTAAAGTGAAGGGCACCGACTTTCAGATTAGACGTTAAACTAGGGTCCTATCGCTCTGTGATCATTAAAAATATCCCATAGCACTTCTCGTAAAATGTAGGGTGTAATTCCGGTGTCCTGGCCAAATTCCCTCCATCTACCCTTACGATCATGGCCTCCCAATAATCCCTATCCACCGAATTGTTGCATACTTAGTAAAGTGTTCTTGAGCTCTGAAAAGGCGCTTTATAAATAACACTTATTATTATTATTTTCAAGAATGTTGTACAATAGCAGCCATAGACCTTCATAGCGTTTTGATTCTACTATTTCAACATTCTTCAAAATATCTTGTTTTGCGTTCAACACAAGAAAGATAGTCGTAAATGTTTAGAAACATTTGAGCGAGAGTAAATGAAGAGGACATTTTCATGTTTGCCTGAACTATAATTTTGATATGTAACATTCTGAATACCACTGAGCGAGCAGAAACATACTGAACCACTGCAATGACAAACCTGCAATAGATGCATGAGATCAGGGTGTTGGATGTCAACGGCGATGTCAAAAGCGGTCTTGCAGAACTTGCTGAGGGCATGAACATCAGCGCCGTGTTTAATCAGCAGCTCTGCGACATTGTGATGGCCGTGTTGAGCTGCCCAGTGAAGAGCCGTCATCTTCAGCATGTCTTTAGCGTTGATGTCGGCTCCACTCTAACACATGGAGGAAATAGATGATCAACGAAAGTATAGTTTTTATATATTAAAATGATCACAATGCAAAAAGAGCTTCGTGTTACCCGGATTAATAAATCCACGATGACCTCATGGCCCTCTGTGGCCGCCATGTGCAGTGGGGTCCTGTCCACCTTTGTTCGAGCATCTCTGCTGACACCCGCCCTCAGCAGGACCTCAGCTGTGGAGTAATGACCATGCTGAGCTGCTAAATGTAATGGAGACGTTCCAAGCTGAAAAAAGAAGAAAAAAGGTTGCGTTTAAAAAGACAAGACAAAACTGAATTTTAATAATATTAGGGTCTGAGATGCAATTAGATTCATAAAATAGATTTTCAATGTATATTTCTATGTAAAGTGCAAGTTTAATATTGAACAATAATCCATAACTAACCCAGTCTGTGGTGAACGGAGCTCCGTTGGCCATTAGTGTTCGGACCTCATCATCATGACCATTACGAGCCGCTTCCAACAGACGCTTTCCCAGATCCACCAAAGACATCTAGACAGCAAACAGAGAGATTATATACACCAATCAGGGACTTTGGGGTTTTTTGTTTGTTTATTTATTGACACATTAACAACTCATGGCTACTCCATGGCAAGATGGCTATAGATAAAACAATATAACATAATAATAACAACTTCATAATTCAATAAGAGATCCACTCAGAAATTAAAACCTGTGTTATTACATTATTAAGATATTTTTATATATGTGTAATTATTTCAGTTTTGAAGACAACTACTAAAAGACAGCACAAATTTGTGTTTAAATTTAGCAACCATTTCCATAAAAGTGTGTCACAACTGGAATACTGGAAAAACAGACAGAGCCTCATAGAAGTCAATGACAACCATACTTGTAGCAATACAATATTTGATAGTCACTAACAAAATAAGTTTTAGTATGTGTTTAATAGGAACCACTAACTAATAACCATTTAATAAATAAACACTAGTAACTAATGAATAAGTAGATTTTGTTTATAAAAAGGTATAATAATAAGCTTTTTTAAAAGGTAGCAAGGATTTCCTCGCAAAAATAGCTTTTTAAAAAATTATTATTAAGGAGAAAGTCTGAATATGCGAACTGTAAACCGACTTTACCTCAATAATAGCTAGTATTAATGCTGGAAAACTACTAACCACAGTGGCTGGTGATCTAAAATGTTCAAGGCCGCTAATAACGCGCCACAGGGTTTATCAACAACACCCAAATGCTTTATATACTGATAACTCTCCTATAGACAGATGGATCAAATGTCTCAAAGCAAAAAATAATCGAACTCTTACCTTACAAAATAATTCACTTGCCCTACACCATCTCTGTTTTTCAGAAGAATCCTCATATAATCACTCTATGCAACATGCAGCTTATGGAGACTCTCTTTTATAAATTATACCACAATTAATGATCTGTGTATAAAGAACTGCAATACGTTCATGGAAATAACTTAATGAAAAGCACATTAACATCTAATAAAATAGGATATTGTAGCATAAAAGCGCTAACGTTGACACATATTACCCGAAAGTTAGCGAACCAAAACAGTGCATGCGCAATCACATAGAGCGAATAATTAACGCTAGATCGAAATATAACTCCATAGGAACACACACACACAAACAAACGAACAAAATATAACAGTAGTCAGTAGGCAAAGTGATTTTACAGCTTATAATTGTCTATGCCAAACTCATGTGCCATGTGGAGTCAAATAGAGAGCGGAGCTGAGCACACACATCCTCCAACTGCGCCGTTAAATAATGAGATCTGCACATTAGGAACTCACCTTTATAGCTGTCTGTACGACGTCTTTTGGGTGTTGTTAAATCTCTATATAGTGATCTCTTCTGTATTTCTGAAGTGTCTGAAGATAAACATGTCTGTGTGTTTAAAGCGCATTCGGATATGGCGGCTGCTTTACCCCGGAAATAAAAGAGAAGCTGTAGGATGCAGTGGACGTGTTTCAAAGTCTAGCCGGCTCCCTACTTAGGCAGCATGTTAAGGCCTATTTGGTGTACTAGAATAACGTTATAAAATGCTGACTAATTAATTAGACGGTGTAATCAGCCTACCATTATTATTGATAATATAATATAATATAATATAATATAATATAATATAATATAATATAATATAATATAATTTAGTTTTCTGTTTACAATATAGTTTAGCCTACATGACAAGAAAAAAATTTCAAGCATTTAAACAAAACAGTATACAACTTTAATATTTATTTTTGCCCAGTATATTACAATGTGTGAAAACGTGTAAAGATTTAGTAATTTTTTAGAAAAGTCACAATTCTGTAAAACAATACAATTATATAATAATTATAGTCATATTTACTATATTATTATAGTCACATATCTATAACTGCTATTTTGATTTATAGCACTTTGTTTTTGCATTGATATTTAATGTCTCTTGTTTAAATACACAACGAACAGCAGCTACGCCATTTATTTTCATTATTCATTATTTCCACCTGGGGATACTCATCCAGAGTCTCTAGAGATTGTGCAGTGCCATTGATGTGATTCAAGACCTGTGGAGAGATTATGCCAAGGTATCCATAATTTTGGACCAGGCCGTATCCTGAGCAGATGCTGTGGTGGTCATGGAGGAGTGGAGAGCATAAGGGCCTACTCACACTATGCCATCCGTACCGTGCCCAGGCCCGTTTCCCGGATCGTTTGAGAAGTGTGAGTGCGCTGAATCGCGCTCAAGCACGGTTCACTTGGCCGGCCCTGGCCCGGTTGGAAGAGGTGTGCCTGAGCGCGGTACACTTGGGCTCTGGCGCGATACGCTTGTGTGTGAGCGCAAAACGCGCCAAAGCCCGAAACCGAAAGCGAGACGTGACTTTTAAGGGACTGTTTGATATGGATTTATTAATCATTCTTACTGTTCAGTGAACGCAAACTGCCGTAGTTTATTAAAGACGCAAACTCCTCACAGCACGCCAGCTGCGCGCCTTCAGCAGACCTCCTCATTCATGCAGCACGAGAGCTTTATGATCGTTTATGAGCGCCAAAAGTGGTGGATCTGTTCGGCGAAATATCTGACTGCGTGTCCCCGCATCCCTAAGGACTGTTTGGCGAAATATTTGACTGCATATCAAACCACTGAAACGATATAACTAGAGAAATCTCCACTGTGCTACTGGGTGAAAGCGTATGGCAAGCCGTTTTAGCATTTAAACCTTGTTCTGACTATCCATTAGAGATATTTCTAATTATATTTTGACTAGTCATAATTATAATTCGACTAGTCAGAATGACAATTAGAGATATCTGCAATTACAATTGTACTAGTACGAAATCAGATTGGAGATATCTGCAAATATATTATGACTAGTCATATTCCTCCATTGACTTCCATTGAAAAATATTTGCAGATATCTCTGAGTTTTGACTCGTCAAAAATCCAATTCAAGATATCTACAACTGTAATTCGACTATTAGTAAATTAATTAGAGATCTTCAAATATATTTGTAAATATCTCTAAATATGATGAATTAAAGACATCTCCAAATGTATTATGACTAGTAAAAACTCAGAGATATCTCTAATTACAATTGTGACTAGTCAAAACTCATTTACAGATATCTGCAAATATTTTTCAATGGAAGTCAATGGAGGAATATGACTAGTCATAATATATTTGCAGATATCTCCAATCTGATTTCGTACTAGTACAAAATCTGTAATTGCAGATATCTCTAAATGTCATTCTGACTAGTCGAATTATAATTATGACTAGTCAAAATATAATTAGAGATATCTCTAAATATATTTATGGAGTCAGAACAAAGATTTAAATGCTAAAAAGGCTTGCCATAGAGAGCGCTTCTGAACAGCGCAGCAGCGATGACGTAAGCGTGCCGAGGCCCGATATGGTGTGAGCGCGGGCCGTCGGGGGAGACGGGAGGGGGGACAAGCGTGCTTTGGCCCGGTTCGAGACAACTGTACCTAGTGTGAGTACGGCCTAAGACTGACTCCTGAAAGACCCCTGTGACAGACGAGTCTCCGCATTGATCCCATGGGCCAGCCTGAACACCCGACCTACTCACACCTGCAGCTTCTCCACGATGGACGTCCAGTGTTCTCCAGTCTCCGGCGCCTAGACTGCAGCTCTGCACAAGAAGTTTGGCCAAATGAGAAATGGTCTTGCACAACTGAGCCTGGTTTCTCTCAAGGTTTTTTTACTTTCACTTTTGTCAATTGGTGAAGCTTTGTTCCTCGCCACTGTCGCTACTGGCTTGCTTGGTTTGGGACTTGTGGAGCTGTGCATCAATGGATTTGGTCTTCAGTGTTTGGACTTTCAGCAGAGAAATTTAAACCACTCTAAACAGAACTAAACTGAACTTAAACTCTGAAAACTGGACTGACAGTTTTAGTTTACTAGAACTTCTATGTTAAGCTACTTTGACACAATCTACATTGTAAAAGCGCTTTAGAAATATAGATGAATTAAATAGAATTTAAGGTTAACAGCAAAATGCCAATTAGTGTAATTAATTATTTTAAAACATTGGCATATACTCCCACAAAAAATATATGGCAATTGATAGTAAATATAGTGTTTATAAATCAGTATTATACTTTATATATTATAGTATTTACAACTCTTTGCTTTCCCAATACTGGCTGAAGGACATCCACTGCTTAAAACATATGCTGGAATAGTTGGTGGTTCACTCCGCTGTGGTGACCTCTGAAATAGAGACTAAGCCAAAGGAAAATTAATGACAACTCTTTGCAAAAATGCTAATAGCATATAGGCTAGCATTGACTATAGAAGTGATAAACTGTAATCAATTCTGTAGTATACTTTAGTTTTTACTACAGTAATCTGTTGTGTAGTACAATATACCCTATATAGTTTACAAAAACAGTGTAGTATGGGGTAGTTTGTTTACGTTAATATTTAATATAGTTGCTGTATTACCATTGCAGCTTTAGAATTACCTCAACAGTTTAACTCAAGTACTTAACTAAAACATTATAGCATTTACTACAAAATACTATAGTATTTTTCACGTGGATTATGAATATAGTCTATATTAGTCAACAAGGCGTTTTATTCATTCATTTATTTTATTTTCGTCTTAGTCCCTTTATTAATCAGGGGTCGGCACAGCGGAATGAACCACCAACTTATCCAGCATATGTTTTATCTAGTGGATGCCCTTCCATCTGTAACCCATTACTGGGAAACACCCATACACGATGGCCAATTTAGTTTATTCAATTCACCTATAATTCAAACTCCACACAGAATTGCTAACTGGCCCAGCCAGGACTCAAACCAGCAACCTTCTTGCTGTGAGGCGACAGCGCTAACCACTGAGCCAACGTGGCATTTTAGTCATTTAAAATAAACATAATATTTTGTTTGCTACACTCCATAACCTATTTGCAGCTGTGTAGCATTAGCAAAATAAACCACAGAAAAAAGGTAATCCATAATCAGTCACAATCTACTCCAAACAGTACTAAAGCCAGCGCTAAAACCCCCAAAAACAGGTGCACTTGTAACAAACGCCTAACAATGATAGTTATAAGTTAGTGGTGTAGTTCTCTCAACTTATAATCTTCAAAATGAACATTAAAAACAGAGACGTTTTGTGTTGATTTAGCAGCAAGCTCACTTTAGTTGGCATCTGACATTTGTCAAACAAAATGGGGGAAACATTAGCATTAGCATTTTAGCATTTCCGCTCAATACAAAACACCTTAAAAGTGAGATTCCACTTTAACCTAGCAAAATTATGCTATGTGTTCATTATACAATCAATTGGGCAGACAATAATAATAACATTTCAGTAAAACATTAGCGTTCAATCAACCCTTTTCTTAAAAAATTAAATGAAGTCCACCAATTTACCCTTATGTGCATGACCAATTGAGCAGTTAGACTTGACAAGGCGGTGAAATACAATGATGCCCTGACAGTTGTCTTACAGAGAACTTAGTCATCACAATTGTACTGACATGGTTTAACAAGAAATGCATAACACATGATTTTTTCGAATCAATTCATCAATACCAGATAGTAGATAGTAGAGAATTGGTGAAACTGCAGAGGTGTTAAAGGGATAGTTCACCCCAGAAATGAAAATTTCCTCACCATTCACTCACACTCAAGTAGATCTAAACCTTTATGAATTCCTTTCTGCTGTTGAACACAAAACTAGATAATATAAAGAATGTTTTAAACCCCTGACATCAATAAAAACAAGTAAATAAAAACATATTATTGAAAGCAACGGCTGTTTTCCTTCAACATTCTTCAGTAGACCTTCCTTTGTGTTTAGTACGGGTTTAGTACAAGTAGAAGGTGAATAAATGATGACAGGCTTTTAATTTTTGTGTGAGCTATCCCCTCAAACACAGATTTTGGGCCTGAAATAATAATGGCATTGCAGTGTCTTATAACAGCAGGCTGAAATCCAAGGTGTCAATGCTGGGGATGGGCTCCTTCCAGAAGTTGAAGGTGGAGAACTTGGACAGCTCCCGATCTTCGTCCTCGTCCTGTCGTGGGAAGCTCTTGGTGGACTTCATCTCCTTGGATTTGGGTGCGGAAATGCCCAGGTCTTCCAGCTCCGACAGGTCCAGCGATGGGATTGGCTGCCTCCAGAACAGGAAGGAGTCGAACTGGCTGCTGGTTTTGTCCAACATTTCGATCTGCCAAATCAGAGGAGATTGTGAAAACGATAACATGAGAATCATTTCAACTGCTAGATCATTTTGCATGGTTCATTGCCATTTCACTCATCAGTTTTCATAGTTTTCATTTTCTTAAATTTCATACAAGTAGAGAAGTAGACAGTTAGATTTAGGGGTATTAAATTATGAAATTATTTATCCTAAACAACAAATGTTCCTCTTTAACAGGCTTTAAAAGGAATCACTTTAATGTGGTTGTGTAGGTTTGTATTAATTCTATTGTATGCAGGATTTTTACTTCACTTTCATTTGTATGTATTCATTATTCATTTAGTATTTGTTGTAATGCAAATGTTTTGTCATTGTCTGGCAGCTAGCTCTCTGCAACTCTCACATGGTCGCCCACTGAAGCTAAGCAGGGCTGTGCCTGGTCAGTACCTGGATGGGAGACCACATGGGAAAGCTAGTTTGCTGCCGGAAGTGGTGTTAGTCAGGCCTGCAGGGGGCGGCTAACCTGTGATCTGTGTGGGTCCTAATGCCTGAGTATAGTGATGGGGACTCTATACTGCTCAGTGAGTGCTGTCTTTCAGATGAGATGTTAAACTGAGGTGACGACTCTCTGTGGTTGATAAAAATCCCAGGATGTCCTTCGAAAAGAGTAAGGGTTTAACCCCGGCATCCTGGCCAAATATGCCCACTGCCTCTGTCCATCATGGCCTCCTAACCCTCCCCATATCATAATTGGCTTCACCACTCTGTCTCGTCTCCACCAATCAGCTGGTGTGTGGTCTGGTGCAAAATGGCTGCCGTCGCGTCATCCAGGTGGATACTGTGCATTGGTGGTGGATGAGGAGATTCCCCCCAATGTGTAAAAGCGCTTTGAGTGCCCAGAAAAGCGCTATATAAATGTAAGGAATTATTATTATTATTATTTATTATCATCATTATTATTTAGGTAGAGGCTCTGAAAAGGCTTTTTGGGCTTTTACCTATTAATGCATATGATGGCTATTTTTTCTATTTTATTCCAATCTTTTTGTATTCTTGTGCAAATAAAGTAAAAAGTAACTAAAACCGAAAACTTTAGAAAATGTGTTTCAACATTTAAGTTTTCGATAGTCACCTTTGCAGAAGCTACAAAAATGTACATTTGTTAAAAGCGGTAGCGTTATGATACGGTCTATCGACTTGGATAAGTATTACACGTGTCCTAACTACACGCAATGCGACACAATTCCTTCAACAAGCAATTTGTCTGTCTGCATTAAACGCATCGCGACACGACAGAAACATTTAATATAAAAATATAAAATAAAAAAAATATCAGTATATATATATATATATACACATACACATACACATACATACATACATACACCTAAAACAATACACCTAAACACATTGTGACACAAAATATTTATGAACGTTTATGCTGGCAATCAGTTTGTGTTATGCTTGGTTTTATGCATAAGCACTATTATTGTCATAACCCCATCTACGCAATAAGTTTCAGCACAATCTTTTTAGTTTCTACAGAGTAAACCAAAAAGACTTCTACATTTGAATTAACACTAACATTTTTCTTTTTTGGGTGGGCTATGCTTTTTATGGTCAGCTAAAACAGAAATATTCCCTCAGAATTATTGTGTGCAACGCTGAAATCAACTTTGACAGAATGCTTTGCATTGCATGCCCTTCATAAACTTGTTTACATTTCCTCTCAGTGATCTTCTGACTAGCTGGTGATGGGCTATTTCAGTTACGTGCTATTTTCAGGGAAACCCGAGCAATTTACATCTGCAAAAGTACTTTTAGATGCAGGTGAAAGGGTATAACATTGTTATGTAAACAAGGAAAAAACATTATATTAATTACATTAATAAATCAAGTATACTGTAAGTGAACAATAGCTTTAAATTTAAATATAGGGGTATAATTAGACAGTTGTTGCACTTTACAGATGCAACTAATATTAACTATTAAATATAAGCTATTAGGTATACTATATTAATAAATATATTGATATTTTTTACTTTAAAATAATTATATATTTTTTCGCATTTTAATATTTCATTATAAAAGATCATATTATTATAAGTAGTAGTAAATTTGATAGAAAATTGAGAAATAAACATTTTATATTTGCAAAAAAAAATTTGCATATAGCTAAAAAAAACTATATATATATATATATATATATATATATATATATATATATATATATATATATATATATATATATATATATATATTTCAAATAAACAAATTATAAACTGTCCCTCCAGGATTTTGCAAGCCCAATAGTTCTTCAGAGATAAAAAATAAAATAAACATATTTCAAGATTGTTGTATGCTCACAGCAAAACAAGAACTGAAGCCAGCATTTTGGATGTATCCTCCTAAAAATCAATTATTTATGGCTGCAATTTATATTTAGATATATAATTTAAGCACAATATAATAACTATTAAATATAAGCTAATAAATGTACTATAGTAATAAATATATTATTATTTTTAACAAAACTTTTTTATTTTAATATTTCATTATAAAAGATCATATTATTGCTATTATTATTATTATGAAAAATTTATAAATTCATTAGAAAACTGAGATAATTAAATAAGAATTTTATTTGCAAAACAACGGTTAGCAAATGGCTAAAAAAAATGTATATATATATCCTCACAAAAATCAATTCTGTATGGCTGCAGTTTATATTTAGATAGATACTTTAAGCACATTATATTAATTATTAAATATAATAAATGAAATACACTATATTAATAAATATACTATTATTTTTTATTAAAATGTATGGTATGTATGTATTTTTTGCACTTTAATATATTATTATAAAAGATGATAATAAATTTATTAGAAAATTGAGAGAATTAAATAAGCATTTTACATTTGCAAAAAATACTTGGATACAGGTAAAATAAAAAAAAAAGACTTATTTCAAATATATTAAATTATAAAACTCTCTCCAGAATTTTGCAATCCCAATAGTTCTTGAGAGATAAACATCTTACAAGATTTTTGTGTATTTTTACAGTGAAACAAGAATTGAAGCATGCATTTTTGATGTATCCTCACAAAAATCAATCATTTATGACTGCAGGTTATTTTTAGATATATGTTTTATATTTTATGTCCCTGCAAAATCCTTAAGGGGGCTGATGAAATTATATTTTGTTATAAAAAGCATATTATTCAGGCTGACGACAAAACCTCATGTTCAATATCATATGGTGTCTTTTACTTAAGTCATCTAATTATACTAATATATTCTAATTAAATTCAAGACTACAGAACTAACATGTATACGAACAAAGAAGCATTATGGTTTCGTTCCCAATTAAACATTTCCTTTGGGAGCAGCTGATCTGATGATCCATATGAAACCTAAAAGTGCCACTAATTCTAATGAAGCTCATCTATAATTAACTGAAATTCTTATCACGTCGCGTCGTGATTTAGCTCCGGTCACACAATGCACGGACGGTAAACGCCCAAATATCAGAGACAATCACTGGACGAGACCCTTACACGACCACCATAATTAGCCTAGATGTTTTTTTAAGCATTTGACATGCACGTCTATTAAAAGAGAGGCTCTGGGGGCCCCAAAAATAGTGATGGCGCATCTCATGACAAAGCATTTCAGAGATGCTCCAACCAACAAACACTCATTACAAAGACATTTACCCATAAAACAACATTTTATTGAAATTAATATACATTTAATTCGCTTGTACATCATGCCAATGTAATTTTAATGCTTTAAATAGTTGATTTAAAATATACATATTGCTCTAGACAAAAATAATGCACCTACCTCTAGTAGGCCTATGTATGTGGTCGGGTTGGTTCTCTTTTGAATGCAAGCTGTTCTGTAATTATTGAGATTTGATGAAGATTAGACGGTGCACCCTGTTTAGTTGTCAATCTTCTCGCCGGCTGCTTAATGTGAACCAACCGCGCCCAACATCACTAGTGACTGTGCTGGGAGATTTGCATTCGCCCCGCCCACCTGCTGTGGCAAATTTGAGGAGTCAAGAGGACTAGCGGCAGGTGTATAAGTCGTGGGCGTGTCCCGTCTATTGTGTTGTGTTGTAGTGTGCTGCGTTTATGTGGTATGCTGCTTTTGTGTCTCTTTATAGTTTGCATTTGTTGACAACCCGTCGACCCCCATCGGGTTTCTTCAAGTGGAGTGGTCGTCTGTTGTTGGATGAGACTGAGATGCTGCTTGGTGATTGGTTGAGCTCCGCGTCCGTCAGGTCGATTGATTGATCCATCTTTCCACTCAGTGAACGTCCAACATATTGCACCCGAAATAGAAATATATTGAGGATTTCAGTGGAATAGAAATGTAGCTGTTGATCTTTAAAGCAGCACAGCTAGTAGTGTTCATTTGAATTCTGTGATACATATTCAGTGATGCATATTAAAATGTGAACAATGCTTTGGTGAATACAAATAAATAAATAAATAAAATACAATGTTTTAATAATTATGACATTTTAATACTTCATTTTAAAATATAGAATTATCATTATTTTATTTATTTATTATTATTATTATTATTATTATTATTATTATTATTATTATTATTATTATTATTATTATTATTATTATTATTATTATTATTTAATTATCAGTGGGAGCAAAGTTATATTTAAAGGTTGTGGCAATGAAATGAGGACTTTACATTTGCATAGCCAAAATGAAATATAAAACCACTACTTAAAATAAATTAAATTATAAAACTGTCCCTTCAGGATTTTGCAAGTCAAATGTGTGATTGAGATAAAGAAAACATTTAAAAAAAATGTATATAAAGAAAAAGATATAATGCTTTAGTGAATACAAACAAAAATAAATGAACAGGTAAATATTACAATCTAGTAATTATAATAATTATAAAGTATGAAGAAAAAGAAACAAATAGAAAGAATACAAAATGACAGGCTATAAAAATAAATAATGTTTGATAAAAATAATTTAATTAAATAAATAACCAAAGGGACTAAGCCGAAAAGAAAATGAATGATTAATAAATAACCAAACACAGTGCTATAAAGAGTAGACAAATGCAGCTATATAGAAGTTGCTCGTTATGAATTGTGTGAATTCTCTAAACAAAGTGGTTGATATTAAATATTAACAACAAATATCAATTCAACAATTACAAATTTGATAATAAATTATGATATATTATTACATACACATTACATACACCCTTCTATATAATCACATTACATTTCAAATCAGGAGCATCTATATAATAATAAGAATAATACAAAATAATATAAGAAGAAAAAACTGGTAGGTTTCCCAGAGATGGGTTGCAGCTGGAAGGGTATCCGCTGCATAAAAACTTGCTGGATAAGTTGGCGGTTCATTCCGCTGTGGCGACCCCAGATTAATAAAGGGACTAAGCCGACAAGAAAATGAATGAATGAATGAATGAAACTTGTAGGCTTCATAAAATTATCTGACTTTCTGCAACTGGTCAGATTGATGCTTAAAGTCAGGCACTTAAAATACACATAAAACACATCCAAGATTAAAATTATTATAATTGGGATTGCTGAAATCTAAACGTTTTTTAAAATATATATATAACTACACTCACCGGCCACTTTATTAGGTACACCTGTCCAACTGCTCATTAACGCAATTTGCTAATCAGCCAATCACATGGCAGCAACTCAATGTTTTTAGGCATGTAGACATGGTCAACACGATCTGCTGCAGTTCAAACCGAGCATCAGAATGGGGAAGAAAGGTGATTTAGGTGACTCTGAACGTGGCATGGTTGTTGGTGCCAGACAGCTGATCTGAGTATTTCAGAAACTGCTGATCTACTGGGATTTTCACGAATAACCATTTTTAGGGTCTACAAAGAATGGTCTGAAAAAGAGAAAATATCCAGTGAGCGGCAGTTCTGTGGGCACAAATGCCTTGTTGATGCCAGAGGTCAGAGGAGAATGGCCAGACAGGTTCCAGCTGATAAGGCAACAGGAACTCAAATAACCACTGTCCAACCTTGTGGAATATAATCCATGAAGGATTTGGCAGTTCTGAAGGCAAAAGGGGGTCCAAACCGGTACTAGTATGGTGTACCTGATAAAGTGACCAGTGAGTGTAAATTGTATTTAATACCCACATAGCAAAATATCTCTGGCCCTGCTCTGGCCCACACAATCAGCTTTTGCTTTGGCCCACATGCCACAGTGAATTACGGTGCATGACTGGACCAAGTCTGGCTTATAGACAAGGGCCAAGCATGGACCATATCTGGACCAAGTCTCAGCCAAGTTAATAACCCATAACTGAGCCTGCAGTGGGCCAGATATGTTGGTGTTTCATGACTGCAATGAAATTGATAAACCCATAAGTCATTACACTTCAGGCATGCTATGGTCGTGCTTTTTCTCGAAGTGACCTGATTGGTATAATTTATTTCTTTATTTAAAAATACAAAAAAATGTATTTTAAATGTGGGTCAAGCTAAGCCAAACATGGGCCACATATCATCAGTTATTAACATCTGGGCTAAATACTACATTCTACATCTGGCCCACCGCCATAAAGACGGTGCCACCTCTCCCTAACCAGGGTTATGTTTGGCCCACATGCTGTATGCCAGTGCTAGATGAATGTCTGCTGTGCCAGATTTATGCCAGATCTGGGCCAGAATTCTCCAATAGTATCAGGATGCAGCCTTTATAATGCAAGCTGAGATTGCATCACTCAGCGATGCAATGTCAGATACAATGCACTCAATAGAGTGAGTGACGTAGGGTTAGGGGTGGGGTTAGGTGAGCACATTAAAAAGCATTGGATGCAGCTCAGATTGCACTGCACCTGGTCTGCATCATTCTTTGCTACCTGGGTAGTGTATAGAGCTGATTATACATTACATTTTGACTAATTTTGAATAATGACACAAATTCCATATACTGTGTTTAAACAAACAGATACTCAACTTCAAACTTGTATATATACTATATATTTCATTATTTATTTAAATATTTAGTTAGTTTTGTAGTCAGTTAAAAGGCTTTAGTTTATACAGGATCTGCATTTCCATCCTCCAACCACTAGATGCCACTAAATCCCTAATATTTATTTGCACGCCGTTCTTCTTAAAATAGCAAAACACAATTTACAGCAGCTTTGTTTTTACCTATCTGACTAAGCAAAACACTTCACCAGGAAACAGTAAAAAAAACGATGGGTTTTAAGCAGTATAACAGCTTCCGACATGACGTCAGTGTTTACAAACACTGGCACCGGAAGTGAGACAGGCAAAAACAAGATTACGGAAAGAGTGGCGAGAAAGAGAGAGCGAGAGAGAAAGAGAGAGAGAGAGACGTGTGTCTGTATCAGCAGCACAGAGACAGCAAAAACCTCCGTATATCAGACAAACACTCAGTGCTTTACTGTAACTGTGTTTTACAGTTTATTTATTAAGGACAAAGAAAACATTGAGAGAAAACTCCACCTCAGAAACGGCGCTATGGTAAGTTGCTGCTGCTGCTGTAAGTAATGCAGGTTAAACTGCTGACTCTACGTTAACTCTTTAAAGATGGTTAGTTTACTCCAGTGTGCTTACAAACGCATATAACTCACTGACCAAAAGTTGATTTCATAATATCAATGTGTCGTCATATAAGTCTCTTAATGTTCTGACATTTTGCAATCCGTGTTGACAGTTTATTTTAAGTATTACCTGCAGTGTTTATGTTGTAATATGACAGCAGTTGCTCATTTGCTGCTAATTTTCGACTAGTTTCATAGTAGAATTATTCAGAAAGTTATTCAACCTCCAGAGCTTCACCCTTCAGTGATCAGGTGAAAAATAACCCTAGGGTTTTCAAGCACATATAATCATTCATTAAATTAGTTTGGCAAACCAAATGTTTACAAATATGGGCCTCCTATTCAGTGTTGCAAAATAGTGCAGTTTTGATTTGTAATTAATTTTGCTCTGAAAATCAACTGTCAACTTACATCTGTATCTGTTGTTCTGCACATTATATGTTTTCATTGAAAACATAATTAAACATACTTGTACCCTTTTATATTCAAAACTTGGGTGAAGTCTTTATTTTATACCTGTAATTCATTTTCGTTTTTTTAGCGCAGAAAACCAAATTATAATTTTTTGTAAAATAATATAATATAATATAATATACAATTTTAATATTATAATATAAAATAATATAAATTAATGTAATATACTATAATATAAAATAATATAATATAATGTAATATAATATAAAATATTACAATGTAATAATATAAAATTATGTAATATAAAATAATATAATATAATATGAAATAATATAATGTAATGTAATATAATATAAATTAATTCAATATAATATAATATAATATAATATAATATAATATAATATAATATAATGTAAATAAATATAAAATAATATAATATAATGTAATATAATATATATTGTATAATATAAAATAATATAATACAATATAAAATTAAAATAATATAATGTAATATAATGTAAAATCATATAATGTAATAGAATATAATATAAAATAATATAATACAATATAAAATAAAAATAATATAATGTAATATAATATAATATAAAATCATATCATGCAATATAATATAATAAATATAATATAATATAATATAATATAATATAGTATAATATAATATAATATAATATAATGAATTATGAAGAAAACCTTTTTGTCTACTTACAGGATTACGTTTATTTTACTGCCTACATTCAGATTAAAGAGATAGTTTGCCCCAAAAAAGAAACTTCTGTCATCATTTACTCACCCTTTATTTGTTTCAAACCTTGAACACAAAAGAAGATGTTTTGAAGAAAGGTGACAACCTGTTACCATTAGTATTAGACTTCCATAGTATTTGTTTTTCTGCAGCGGAAGTCAATGGTTACCGCTTTCCAGCTTTCTTCAAAACATCTTCTTTTGTGTGGAAAGAAGTGGAACCACTTGAGTAAATGATGAGTAAATTTTCATATTTTGCATAAACTAACCCTTTTAATCCAGTGACTGTTAGAATAATATACACATGTTGAAAATC